CCAGTACAGCTTTTCCCACTCTTTTGTTGACTATGAGCATTACTCCATTTCTTCTATGGGATTCTTGCCCACAATAGTAGATACGATAATCATTTGAATTGAATTCGCCCATTCCCATCCATTCTAGTTCACTGATCCCAGGACGTCAATGTTTATTCTTGCCATCTCCTGTTTGACCACATCCAACTTATCAAGGTTCATAGATCTTACATTCCAGGTTCCTATGCAGTATTTTTCTTTGCAGCATCAGACTTTCCTTTCACTTCCAAGTGCGTCCACAGCTGAGCATCCATTCAGCTTTGGCCCAACCACTTCATTAGCTCTGGAGCTACTTGTACTTGTCCTCCACTCCTCAGTAGCACGTTGGACACCTTCCGACCTGAGGGGCCCATCTTTTAGCCTTTTGTTTCTGTCCATGGAGTTTTCTTGGCAAAGATACTGGAGTAGCTTGCCAGTTCCTGCTCCAGGTGGATCATGTTTAGTCAGAACTCTCCACTATGACCTGTCCGTCTTGGGTGTCCCTGCACAGCACAGCCCATAGCTTCTCTGAATTACTCAAGCCCCTTCGCCACATCAAGGCAGCAACCCGTGAAGGGGACACATATATATACACACTCCTAAACCAGAGCCAAGGGAAGAGGGCATCAGTTGTTGTGAATGGAGAGGGAGTATTTAAGCCTTTCCTTTCATATGTCATGTTCCTAAGTAAAATTCCTCACCACCAGTGATGCTTGTGAAGGAAGGAAGGAGGAATGACTCCTTAGCTACAGAATAGTTTCAGAGATTGCAGGGACAATTCCCGTGAAGGGGACACATATATATACACACTCCTAAACCAGAGCCAAGGGAAGAGGGCATCAGTTGTTGTGAATGGAGAGGGAGTATTTAAGCCTTTCCTTTCATATGTCATGTTCCTAAGTAAAATTCCTCACCACCAGTGATGCTTGTGAAGGAAGGAAGGAGGAATGACTCCTTAGCTACAGAATAGTTTCAGAGATTGCAGGGACAATTGCTATTCTGTTTGCACACTGGACTGCAATCACTCCGTTTAATGCGTTCCTATTGGGGAAAAACTCACCAGTAAGCGAAGATTCCCCCATCCAGCCGCCATTTTCGCTGCCCGGTAAGCGAGGGCAGGGCGCGAAAATGCTGTGGGCAGCCATTTTCTGTACCCAGTGGCCATTTTGGAACCGCCGATCAGCTGTTTTCTAAACATCGCAATGCGAAGATCGGTAAGCAAAATGCTTACTGATCACCGCAATGCGATGTTTAGCCTATCTAAACATCGTAATGCGATCGCATTAGCGATTGCAAAAAATGCATTGCTATGTGGATTTGTCGTTAAACAGTGCGTTCATTAAGCGAGGAACCACTGTATAGCCATGGTGAATAAGGAAAGACAAACTGTGGAACACTACGTACAGATCTTGGAAAGCACTTAGGCAAAAAAAAATTACAGAAGGCTTTTCTGCAAACGGAACTTATCCAGATTTCTTTAATCTGGCAGGACATTGTTGCTAATCTATATGGAGGCTGATATTCAGAATCATCAACAAGATAACATTATCACAGAAGAAAATTACCTAGTAGAGAGAGTGAATACGGCATCTGCTACCTATGCTACATAGCTATGAACATTGGAGCCTGCTCAGATTTTAAGATCATCAGGAGAGGCCTTCCTCTCAGTCCCGCCACCTTCACAGGTGCATTTGGTGGGGACATGGGAGAGGGCCTTTTCAGTTCCTGCTCCCAGATTCTGGAACTCCGTCCCACAGGAGGCCAGACTGGCCCCATCTTTGCTGTCCTTCCACAAGCAGACAAAGACCTTTCTCTTCAGGCAGGCTTTCCCTCAGTGACTGGCTGCCTGAGTGGGGTTTTTTTAATGGATTGTTGTGCTTTACTGCTTTGAATGTGGTTTTGGTATTGCCTATGTTTTTTATACGATATTTGATTCTTTTAAATATTTTTATATTTATTGTTTTTAGTTTTCAAATATTGCCTCTTGATGTAAGCCGCCTTGGGTTCTTTTTAAGGAGAAAGGCAGGGTTAAAAAAATTTAAATAAATAGATAGTACAATTAGAAAATCACTAGAAGCAGGTAGAAGACATCTGTTTCTTCTAACATGAGCTTGCATCAATTTACATTTTGCAAATTAGTTTTATTTTGTGATTGGTCATCAGGAAATAAGCACAGGGTTTAGTTACATGTCTGATTTCTCAGATATCCATTTTGGGGGAAAAAGTAGGTTGAAACCCTGTTACATAGTAACACAAAAGACATAACATTTGGAAGTTAATGCAAGTTTGAAATATCTCCATACATCTTAACTGTGCAACAGAATTCCAGTTATTGTAACCTTGCAAGAGTGGGACATATGTCCTTTTCTTGATGTGTTACCTAGCTGTAAGAAAAAGAGGAAGAGGTATACAGAAGGAGCTGAAATTAAGTTGAGATTGTAAGTTTTTGGAGGAGGAAACAGCAAAGCAAAAGGCAAAGAAGAAACATACCAGAGAACACTCTTTATCTATATTATTCCCTAGTGTTACATAGTCCCTTGTACAAGCATGATCATACATTATCCATTTCCAATAACCTGTTCTCAATGCTGCATGCACATGTCCCTAGGAATCACTTAAGTTTCTTGTGTTGATGATTCCAAATACCAGCTTCAATATAATCTAACAGAATACACTTACCCAAATCAGCAGTGGAGTGAAAATACACTCTGTCTCAAAAAAGGGGGTAGAAAATGGCAATTCAACATACCTGCTCTACAATGGAAGGCTACAATAGTAGGGTCTTGATAGTTCAGGAAAAACATGATAGAGCATGAGAAGGATTTGTAACATTGTGGTTGAAATACCGCAGGCTAACCTGCACCATGGCTTTTTCAGAAAATAAATATATCCTTTTTTCCCCCCAAAGATCCCAAGTGCCCTTTATTCACTCATATCACTGTGGAGACACCATTAGTGGCCACAGTACAGGGGGGAGTCTTTCATTTCTGAAAATTGTTGCCTCTGGTAAAATCATCATCTTGCTTGTAATTTTTACAATTTATTTCCTCCCACCACCCATTTCCATGGCCCCAAAAAGCTTCCCCATGCAAAAGGAATCCCACAAGAGCTGCAGAGACCTTAGAGTGGGACTTGGGAAAAAAATATTTCCAAAAAATCACCATGGCTGATGACATCATCAACCTTGTGCAGTGTAGATGCACAAACAGGATTCCAACCTCTATTTGATGTGATGGAAAAGAACAGACTTGGGTTTGTTTGTTTTTCTCTTTCTTCCCTAACACCTGAACATTAAGAAATTTAATAAAACCAAATGATGAGGGATCCAAGACAGATGAAAAGATGCTGAGTCTTTGGTCTAATATAGCAAAGCTTTTCTACTGACTCAGCAACCATTTTTATCAGGAATGATGATATTGCAATATTTCAATAAACCAATGATTCAAGGAGTCTGACAAAAGCTTTAAACTACTGAAACAAAAAGAAGAAGAAGGGGGAGAGGGGAGGGGAGATACCTGGAACATGATAAGCCTGTCACTAGCTTCCTGAAAGAAGGAGAGGGGAGGGGAGATACCTGAAACATGATAAGCCTGTCACTAGCTTCCTGAGGTTCAAGACCAGCTACCATAGGACCGTTCTAGAAGAGAATATTCAAACATCACATTAATGAAAACCATGCAACAATTGGTTGCTTAGAAGAACATACCATTCTTGTTTGCAAGTGTTTGCATTCTCCCATCCTCTCATAACTACATCATTAGGGCTAGATAGGATTATTGAATGTCAGGGCCATCACCATACAGACCGTTTGCAAGTGTTTGCATTCTCCCATCCTCTCATAACTACATCATTAGATTTTAACTTGAATGTCAGGGCCATCACCATACAGACCAATTAAGATGATTCAAATAACAACCATAAGACAGTTGAGTATCTGGTCATTCCAATCCAGACTTTCTGCAAAAAGACTGCTAATTTACTCTTGTGCTTATAGTATGGGCAAGCAATGTGTTTCTTTTCATATTAAAAACATCTTTGCTCTTCTTTTTTCCTCACTTTTATGAAAATCTAAGATTAGTCCTGCCTGTCTAATCCTATCTAGCCCTTTTCACAACAGTCTTACCTGTCACCTCCACCCTTCCAAATCCCCCCACTCTCCCCTGATTGGCTGCTTCCTGCTGAATGGTAGTTGACTCATATGTACCTTTAGGAGTCTGTTCAGTCAAATTGATGGTCACATGATCCATTAGAGACCTGCTACTACCTTCCTGACTTCCAAAGTTTTTCTAACATCAAGCTTTTCAGCCAAATTAGTTCATGTGTTTAGCCCCAAGTCATCAAATAAACAGTAACAAGGTATGGAATGACACACTTTCAAGTGCATTCAGGTGTTACCTTAGAGATTCCTACTTGCACTACTTCTTCCCAAAGGAGCTACTGCAGGGGAGGGGTAAAGTGGATAGAGGGAAGCTCTTTTCCCTCTCACGCAATAACAGAACCAGGGGACATCCACTCAAATTGAGTGTTGGGAGAGGGAGAACGGACAAAAGAAAATATTTCTTTACCCAGCTTGATGTTAGCCTGTGGAACTCCTTGCCACAGGATGTGGTGATGGCATCTGATCTAGATGGCTTTAAAAGGGGATTGGACAGATTTCTGGAGGAAAAGTCCATCGCAGATTACAAGCCATGATGGGGATGTATACTCTCCAGGCTTAAAAGGAAGGTACCCCAAAATGTCAGATGGAGGGTGGTGGTATCAGGAGACAGGTATCTAGTTGTCTCATGTGCTCCCAGAGGCATCTGGTGGAGCCACTGTGAGATATAGGAAGCTGGACTAGATGGGCCCTTGGCCTGATCCAGCAGAGCTCTTCGTATGTTCTTATGTTCTTACGCTTTTTCCAAGAGGCAAAGATACACAAGACATGTTCTAGATTATCTCTCACAGAGGTATGCTTAGCCTGACAAATTGGATTTCATCCATGAAAGCTTGTGACCAGAATTTTTTTAATGGTCCAATAAAAGGTATCACCCACTCTTGCATTTGTGTAATCTTGGGGACCACACAGCCTCTTCCTTGTTCTATCAGAATTTAATTAGATCTTATATTGCTTTATGGGGCTGATTTTATTCTGCCTTTCATTTTACCATATTACTGTACCTTATCGTAGTCCAAGTAGAACTGATCACAGTCTTCAACAAATATCTCCACTGTGCTTATTAGTTCCCCTCTGAATTTAGGCTGCAGTGCCACTAATTCATTCTGTACTTCGTTTGCTCGGACTAGCAGTTTCTCCCAGGTGTAACGCAGGGTGTCCACCTTTTCCATTTCTTCCTTTGCAACCAGTAACTCATACTTGTTCAACATCGCGTAAGACTCCTGCAAAGGAAAAGCTTGTTCACTACAATCATCAAAAAGCCTATGCATAAGTACGTATTCACATAATGACACATTCTTTGTACAACTCTGGCTGAAAAGAGCACCAAGTGGTTCTGTTAAGGATGTGAGGGAGCTAGGTTGGTGCAAAAGGTAACATAAAAACCAACAGTGTGGAGTTTTGAAAAAAAATAATTTATGCTCTATCATACATAGTCTAGATTTTTAGTTCATGCTATTAGATATGGGACGTGGTGGCACTGCGGGCTAAACCGCAGAAGCCTCTGTGCTGCAAGGTCAGAAGAGCAGCAATTGTAAGATAGAACCCACGCGACAGAGTGAGCTCCTGTTGCTTTGTCCCATCTCCTCGCCAACCTAGCAGTTCGAAAGCATGCAAATGTGAGTAGATCAATAGGTACCACCTCGGTGGGAAGGTAAAACGGTGTCCCCTAGTCACGCTGGCCACATGACAACAGAAACTGTCTTCGGACAAGCGCTGGCTCTATGGCTTGAAAACAGGATGAGCACCGCCCCCTAGAGTCGGACACGACTGGACTAAAAATGTCAAGGGGAACCTTTACCTTTATTAGATATCAAATCAGAATCTGGGACTTTTTTTAAAAAAAGAGTCAATGGCAATACACCAAATACCCAGAGTTTTCAATAGTTATGACAAAGCTACAGAAAAAGTGATGCTGCATTATTGAAGACAGAGCACAGTTAAACCTGGACAAATGACCCTGTCAAGCAATAACAAGCCCATCAGGAAACTGTTCCACCAAACTGCAAACCAAGTTATTACAAGAACTGCAAACTGAACTTTCTGCCTGAAGTGTAAACTGAACTTTTCTTCATCCTATGGTAATGAAAGCCTAGCAGCATCCAGCCTAGCATTTATCTGCTAATATGCTCAAATGTCCTATTGCACAATTATGAGTGTCCAACTTAAGATGTGTGCTGTTAGTTGCACTAGTGCACTCTCCCCAAAGCACTTTGGCAGGAACATTGTACAGTCGCTCGTGCCAGGAATGTCCAACCAATTGCACAATTCCTGGTTGCTAGATGCAATGCCCATCACATTTACACTGGTATAGCTTTAACATCACATATTAAAAATCAACTGATGAAAGTGCACATAGGGGGGGAAACACCCTTTTTGCCCCTGGCACTGTTTCAGTTTTCTCAAGAATATAGAAAATACAGTCGGCAGGATAACTGATCAGAAGGATCTATTCAGGATCATTGTGAACATTTTGTTCTTTTCATGTTTAGTGTTTTGAATTCCCTCTGGGAGAAAAAAAGATAGGGCATAAAGTAAAATAAGAAATTATACATAAAGAGCAGAACAAATGGTGATGGAACCCCAAGTGGGAGATGGTAATGGGGGAAACAGACACTGTTCAGGGTCCTGAATGTAGGCACAGATTCTCTTTCTAGTTACCTCAATTGGCCCCACTTGGAAGTCTATGGCAATCTGTTTCTCTCGGATCTCTTTCAGCGCAGCCATAGCGATGCGTATATCATCCAGATCTTTAATCTGGCGATTCAGTCTTTTGCTGATTTCCTCAACAAAGCCGAAGATGTTTTCCATTTCTGTCCTGTAAGCCTTGTTACAGTGACATCCAAATGCAATCATCCAAGCTTTGGTTTCTGTTGTAAGTGCCAGCTTTAGGTCCACTGGGGAGGAAGCATTCAGTTGGTATCAAACGGTTAAGAAATAGTGCCATGTTTCTTCACCAAATCTTCCTTCTCATCCCTGGAGTGACACCCCTCAAAAAGCCTTTATGATAAATTATAGCATATTTCCATAGAAGAAGAAAAACCAGTGAAAGGAGAGGGAAGCTGTTATGATGGACAGAGCCTAAGATTTATTTTTTATTTTTTTAAATGGCTGGGCAAGACGTTCCTTGATCAGTTAACTGTTTGGTCAAATTGTGTGGTTTGCACAAGATTACAGACTCAGCAAAAAGTAGTCATGTTCTCCTGATGGCTTTTTAAAAGAGAACAAGGGAAATCAAATGGGAAATTAGAAAAAGAAAAAGAGGCATGTTTCATGTGCTACTTGATAGAAGGTTATTTTCACAATTAGGATCCAAACTGCAGAATTTCAGCAGGAAACAATAAAGATAATGCATTTAACAATAAGTCATGGTAAACAGTACATTCAGGGTTAAACTAGATGCTGTAGTTAAGTGGTCCTTAAGTACTGAAAGATCTCAGATTTTCAGAACATATATTCTCACTCAGTATCTTATGCTGCAACAAGCTTTGTGATTGGTTATTGGAAGGTAAACATGAGCTTTATTTGCAAGTCTGATATACTACGGTCATATCTCTAGGAATTGCACTGTCAAAGAAAGAATGTGCTAGTCACAAAGAATCTGTGCTTGCTCTCACATTTAATTAAAAAGAAGGGGGGAAAAGCAGTCCCTGAGCCATAAGACTTAAGTCAGCACAACTTTCACCTCAATGCCCAAGGCTCATCTTACCCACCTATCTGGCCCACTCTGATCCAACTAAGCAAAAGTAACTCCCAGGTAACTGTACTGGTTTACTGCTTTCACATACTTTTAAGCTGCATTCTCAGACTGAGAGCAACTGAAGCAAATTTCCTGACCATGGAATATTAAGCAGAAGATATACACTACCAGTATATAGTGCAACAGTTCCTACACAGATGTATTCAGGCTCCGAGTTAATGTCTAGTTCTAAGTCTCTGTAATAAAGAATTTGGGATTCAAATTCAGACAGCAGTGGGTTTCCTTTGACAAAGTTTCCAATAGTTTCTTCTTTCTCCCGCTGCCAGATATGATGGTAACATTTGAACCGTTCCAAGGCTGCAACAATTTCCTGAAAAATTGACAAGGCACAAAGTAAAATGTTGTCTCCCATTGATGTTTATTTCCCAGGACACACACAGACAGAAACCCACATGTTAAAAATTTTAGGGTTAACTAAACACTATATGTCCCCAATCAACAGGGTTCTAGCCTGTTAAGCAATCTCAAGCCATAATCAAGTATTGCCTTCTAAGCCATTTCAGTAGTGGCTGGCCAATAAACTCTTAAATAAAGCAAAAAGGGGTTTATCATAGAGTCCACTTGAATCAAGAGATTTACAGATTTCCCTTCCCTTGCTTCACTTGCCATGCTACACCATGACTTGCCACAAGCCGCTGATGTTCCTCATAAGCATGATCAGAAGATTATAAAACACAGCTAGCCTACACCTGGTGTTTCTATGCTATGTACATTGCAGAGATCCATCAGTTATATCAAGGTGCCCTTCAAAAAGCACCACATAAAACAAGTGCACATTCTAGAATCTCTCCCAGAATCCAATATAGTGAGTAGGAATTACTTGGTGACATGCAGAGGTAGAAAGACTGAAAATCCTCCACCTAAAAACATACTGTTGCATTACTTCTGCAAGTAGCAGTGTGGGAGTTCAGTAGTGTCAACATCCTCAAGAATTTCAATATTCAAGAGATCAAAGCTTGTAGCTTCCAAACATATGAAGAGACGAGCAATGGGAGCTTTAAAAAGGGTGCCAAGAATCATATGACGCTGCAACGAGACAGCAGCAAGAGGACAGAGCTCTGTCCTCTTGGCTGAATTCTGACCTGTTAAAACCACCCTGAAGAGGTGGTGAATTGGGGAAGCCTGTTGATCGTGGGGGGAAGGTGGTTACCCCCGTTTTCATCTGGGAAACTTCCCAATCAACCAGTGGGAGGAAACAAGCAGCTGAATAGCTTGCTTGCAAGTCGTTGGCAGCTGGCAATGGAGAAGTGATAAAATCAGCTAATTAACATCACTGTTACCACTGAGTGAGAAATATTTAATAACTGTACTGCTTTATGACTATCACTGGATGAAACAGTCCCTATAAAAGAAATAGTGTCTCTTATCCTCACCACCTATAGAGCAGCGGTGAATCTGGAGAGAGGGAAGAGATGCAAACAGATGCAAAGAAAATAAATTGGTCACTAATTAGACATTTAATTACACTTCATGGAAGGAATTTTTGGTATTTCTTTGGCGTTAGAATCTTAAGAAATCTTCTCTTAAAATCATTATTAGCTAAACAACTCTAGGAGTTTAATTTGTTATGTTATGGCTATCTAAGCGTTGATGAAAAGCCTAGAACAGTGATGGTGAACCTTTTTTAGCCCGAGTGCCCAAATTGCAACACAAAATCAACTTATTTATTTCAAAGTGCCAATACTGCAATTAAACCCCAAATGCTGATGTTTTAGTTTAGAAAAAACAACTGTTCCTGCCCTCCAAGGGTTAAATGCTTGTGTTCCCCCCCCCATGGGTGGTATTAATAAATAAATACTTACTGGTCCTCCAATCCCCCATTGGGCTAGACAGGTAATGGTTGCCATTGCACCCCTCTGCTGGATCACTGCACCAGCAGACGGGAGTGCCGAAATCCAGGATAGGAGGATAGGTATTTCTCTATGGTGACTTATGGCTCGTGTGCCGACAGAGAGGGCTCTGTGTGCCAGCCATGGCACGCGTGCCATAGGTTCACCATCACTAGCCTAGAACAATGATCTTGAACACTCTGTGGTGGCCCTAAGCTGGGAATCTGTTTTGACTCTCCTTTTTCTTCTAAAAACTGACTGAGGCATTGACAAATTAACCCTGGAAAGTTTAACAAAGACAATTCATCTTGGAATATATATCTGGCTAATGTGGATCTATGTGGACCAATAAAAAATTAGGATGTATCCCGGACAGCTTCTGGGGCTGGATTAAAAAAGACATCGGACCATGAGTACAAACACTGAGTGAACTATTCGGTGAGCAAGTGTCCTTGAGCCTCCAAGTGGGGGAAACCCTTTACATCTGAGACTGGATGCAAGTTTAACTCTAAAGATGGTCAATATATTAAAGTGGACCTATTGAAGCAAGTATTGATGGAATTGGACTGATTACTTTAAGCAACTGGACAACTTTCACTTGGAATACAATTATTTGATATCTGGAACATAATGCTACAACTAGGAAAATGTTGGGATGAAACAAAATCTACCCTTCAAGCAATTTTAGAAATAGTGAGATCCCACAATGAAGAGGCAAAATTATTCAATGAGCAGTTAAGGAAGGACTATAGCCAACAGGAGACAGGGAATGATGAACAAGGAAATGAGAGGGTGGTGGATGATCTATGCTAACCAAAGGAGGGGCTGGAGGAAATCAGAGGAGAAAATTTAGGAGATCTAATTCTAACCCTGGAGCCGAGGAGAGTCTTAGGTGTGCTGAGGGAAGATAAGGGGAGCAGATTTAATTAAAAATAGCCTGGAAGATCAATTGGAGATAGATCAAGTGCAAAAAAAATGATCCCAGATGGTACAAGGGATGGCAGAATTTTTAGAGAGATAGGAATAAGAATTGGGAAAAGACAAACAAGAGAAGGAGTTATTTAAAAAGATAAAGGGGAAAAAAGTATTAAGGTGGCCTTCAAAGTTGAAAGCATGTATCTACCTAACTTATGGAATTGTAAGGGGACACATCTTATATATTAGAAATGGGAATCAAACTGAAATAAGAGATCATTGATCAGGGTAAAGGCATAACACAGTGATTCTTAAGGTAAATTGAAGCTAGAAATAAGACTAAGGTAAAACAAATAGTACTTAATTAACAGATATGATATTGATATAGACATGACAGAAAAATGTGGAGACAGAAATGGATAAACAATTATATAAAGAAAATTAAATAAATTTTAAAAAAGAAAAAAACATTTATATAAAATACGCACATGATTGGCTCAAATGCTTAAAAATGTACAGTGGTGCCCCGCATAGCGAGGTTAATCCGTTCCGGATTAACCTTCGCTATGGGGAAACATCGCTAAATGGAACTGGGAAACCCGTTCCAATTGGGCCCAAGACTCACCGTTCTGCGATGTTTCCCCATGTTCCGGTGGCCATTTTGGGTGTTCCGGTGGCCATTTTGGGTGTTCTGGTGGCCATTTTGGGTGTTCCGGTGGCCATTTTGGGTGTTCCAGCAGCCATTTTGGGTGTTCCGTCGGCCATTTTGGAACCGCCGAACAGCTGTTCCCCCATCGCAATGCGATAAAACATCGGTATGCGATTGCATTAGCGATCGCAAAATCCGCATCACTATGCGGATTCATCGTTAAACGGTGCGCTCGTTATGCGAGGCACCACTGTATAGAGTTTGGACAACTAAGAGGACACCAAGACGCAAAAATAAATAATTATAAGCAACCCATGTAACACAATGTTTAACAAGCACGAACTGAATATAGATATATTGAAAAACTAATAAAATGTTAATTTAAAAAAAGACTCATATGACCTGGTTCCAATACATTCCACAAAATGCTACCCAGCATTCATGGGCGTAACATGTAACCATGAATGGGTTTAATTTCAAAAACCACACACAAAACACTAATCTATACATGTATAGATCGGGGGAGTGTTTTATAATTTTTTGACAACGGTCATGCAGAATTCTGGGAGGTGTTGTCCAAAAACAATAACTTTTCCAAACTCAGTAGAAAACTGCTACCACAGATGACTGACAAGCTCCACTGCAAATCTGTGCCCACTTTTCCTAAAATGCAGCGCAAACTCTTCTACACACACATGCACACTTTTACATATTGAACTCTGTTTTTTTTCTGTCACTCCTTTGAGCCTCCCTTCTACATTGTCCTTCGTTCTTCTTTTCTGTTCCTTCCCAGCCCTGTGATGACACATCGTCCTGAAACCCTGTTTCTTTCTGATTTGGTCAGTTCTAGTACTCCTGCCCTCTCACTGAAAGCAATGTTCCCTTTCTATGCATTGCTTACCCTTCTGGTGGAAGTGATACTTGTACTCAGAACAGACATCAATTTAATTATTTCTTTATTCTCTGAAATGATTTTGTAGTAGTTCTTGTTTGGGATAGGAGCAGGCAAAGTCAAAGATATTGTATCTGAAGCAGTGTCTAAAACCAAAACAAAGAAGAATTAGCAACATTGGATGCTAATTTATGCCACATCAGACCCTTTGCTCACCTAGCCTGCTACTGTTGACAAGAACTAGCAGCAGCTCCTCAGGATTTCAGGTAGGTGGCTTTTCACCCTTCCCTGTAAAAACTGGAAATTGAAGCTGGGATCTTCTATATTCAAGACACATGCTCTGCCACTGAGGTGTGGCTCTAGTTCTGAAATAAGTTTAATCAAATAGCTGTAGATGAGATCTATTAATATTTCTTAATGATCTGTGTGTCTGAAAATGATTATGCACCACACCTGATATTCAGTTTTAAATAAAACTACACATTACAGCATTTGTTGAAACATGCTAGTTCATCCCCTTTCAATGGATGCTTTAACATGGAAAATCATTCTTCGTCATGTACTATGCTTGCAAGCAGGCTGCTCCTCTCATCCTCCAGAAAAATTGGAGAACAGTTATTAGTTTTCTTGGTTAAGCACCTAACATTATCATAAATACCTGAGTTTCCATAAAAAGATTAAAAGTAGAGATAGTTCCAAGTATATATTTCATAAAGCAAGGAGTATACGAAAGGGTTCGTTTGAGATTACCCACGCTTATAATGATGCTTGTTATTTACTCCTCTGCACCTTGTGGTGGCTGACAGAAAAAGTATCTATCCAGAGGTCAGCAAGAGTTGATCTTATGCTAGTGAGAATGTGGTGAGTGGAAATTCAAAACATATGTAGGTCACAGCTTTCCAATTCAGTCTATACCTTCTTTAGAATTCCAAAGCAGGATTCAAATATATCCCTTCTTTAATATGTGAATGGACCTTATTCTAGTAATTCAGTAGACATCTTGTATAAAATATACTGTACTTTAATGCTGAATTAGGCTTCTTAGGGCTGAAAAATTCTAGCAATTACTTGAAGTAGCAATCCCATTCATGGAAAACTTCTTGTCTATATATGCCTTGAATTTAAATCTTTTCCCTTTCCTAACTTTGTACATCATTTCAATGCATAAATCTGAGTAGTTCTGCCTCTGGAACTTCAGTGTCAGAGGAATGATATTTCACACATTATATCAATACTTAGCTGCATTCAACATGCTAAATTTCAGTACATTTGCCCAGCAAGCAATTGCTACATCAGCAAGATGATGCAAACAGCAGTAGGAAAATACTATATTTCAATTCTAATGGAGATCGAATCCGTATATACATACTCAAGGTCAAGCTATTACCGTGAATATTTCCTTGTTCAGTTTCTCCCGTTTCTTTCTCAGAATCATTGTCACCATCACTTCTTAAAGCAGCCATTTTTCTTTCTAGGATCTTTTTCTTCAGATAAATGAAAAAAAGAATGCAGAAGATTTACCGATACTGAACTCTGAATATATGGTCTCCCAAAGATTATCTGAAATATGCCAGCACATACCTTTGAAAGTCTTTCTTTACTCCACTGTTCAACTCGTTTCATGACACTTACAATGTAGTCTACAGCTTTGTTGAGCGTTTGCTGTACTTCGTCAAGGCCTGGGACCATAGCAAAATTTGGAATAGAAAGGACAACACTCGCCCTAAATATGGGCTGAGCACTCTGTTTCTGCTTGGAAGCATTCTCATTATCTACATATAAATACAAAAACACAAGTCTCATAAAACCATGTATAATCCACAGAGGAAAAATAAGTTTCTCTGTGTTCCAAAAAATTCCAGAAGTTCATCTTACTGCATTTGACATAGCTTGGAACCAGACACAGGTACAGAGAAGGACAGGCTAACTATGTTTGTGATACTCAAGGGGTGTCTGCACTACATACAATGGTGCCTTGCAGAGCGACGTTAATTCATTCCGCAAAAATCGCTGCAGAACGAAATGCGTTCCTATGGGCTTAAAACTCACTGTTCAGTGAAGATCCTCCATAGCACGGCCATTTTCACTGCCTGGTAAGCGATGAATCCGTCCCTAAACACAGCGGGTGGCCATTTTGTTTACCCAGCAGCCATTTTGAAACCACCGATCAGCTGGCCAAAAACAGGGGCTTTGCGATGATTGCTTCCCTGCGATCATTGCAAAGTAAAATTCCCCCATAGGGAATATTGCAAACTGATCGCTTTTGCAATAGCAAAAAATGCGTTGCAAAGCGATTTCGACGTAAAACGAAGCAATCGCTATGCGAGGCACCACTGTAGTTATATCCGTTTGATGCTATCTTAATGGCTTTGATTCAATCCTAAAGAATCCTAGGATTTGCAGTTTAATCAGCTACTTGGCTAAAGAGCTCAACTGCACTGCCTTTTAATAGAGTTGATAACTCCCTGTATTTAGCACAGAGTATGTACCGTAATAATAAGCAGAGCCTCATTTACCAACACAGACAACAACTACCTGTGCTGAACACAGGACACATTCAAAATATTAAGCTTATAATGTGATCACATAGAAAACATAGATCACAATTTAGACAGCTGGTGGAGTGGTCCAGCACAATCTATTGTCTAGTGATCACACAGTGTAAGGGGAAATGCACTCCAGCTTGATTCCAATCCATGCCCAAGCTGAACCCTTTTGGTCCAGCTGTAGGACTTTTACATGGAGCAGGTTCAGAAGAGGGCAACAAGGATGTTCAGGGGAGTGGAAATCAAGGTATGGGAGGAAAGACTGAAAGCTGGTGGAGTGGTCCAGCACAATCTATTGTCTAGTGATCACACAGTGTAAGGGGAAATGCACTCCAGCTTGATTCCAATCCATGCCCAAGCTGAACCCTTTTGGTCCAGCTGTAGGACTTTTACATGGAGCAGGTTCAGAAGAGGGCAACAAGGATGTTCAGGGGAGTGGAAATCAAGGTATGGGAGGAAAGACTGAATGGACTGGGCATGTTTAGCCTAGCCTTAAATTCAAAAGAAGGGCAGGATCTGTTCTTGATCATCCCAAAGTGCAGGACATGTAATAATGGGCTCAAACTACAGGAAGCCAGATTTAGGCTGAATATCAGGAAAAACTTTATAACTGTTTTAGCAGTATGGCAATGGAACCAATTATCTTGGGAGATGGTGAGCACTCCAATGCTGGAGGCATTCAAGAGAAAATTGGACAACCATCTGTCAGATCTGCTTTGATTTGGATTCCTACGTTCAGCAGGAGATTGGCCTTGATGGGCTTATATACCCCTTCCAATTCTATTACTCTATTATTCTACTTTTTGGGTTCAAACTGAAGCAATTCCTTGGCAAACTGAAGGGTCACTTTAAGGGAGATTGTTCCCATTAAAGTAACCTTTTCTGATGCAGTCAGGCACACACAATGACAGCACCCATAGTTTTGATGCAATTCCAGCTGCTTCTGCAGAACACGGAAGAAGGAAGTCATTTGCTACCTAAGAAACTGGTTGCATAAGAGGCATGAATGCGCTTGCGAATAGCCTCCAGGGTGTTGCGAGTAACCTTTAGAAGAGCATCAACATTGCGATGACTGAAATGGGACAGCAGTTCTTGGGCTCCTTCCTCTAGCATTTCCATTTCCTTCTTTTTTTTCCTGGTCATTGGGGAAGATAAACGTGTTGATATCTGGCTAGCAGTATGTGAGGAAGCTAAAAAGTCTGATGGCCCATCCTCTTCTGCTGCTGAGAACAATAAATGGAATTAGAACAACAGCATTCCATTCATCTATTAAGCAAAATCTTAGTACTGCTTTTAGAGATATCCCCCAATTGCACATGTTACTTGGCAGTTCTCTGGCAAAGAGCATGCATTTTATTCTATCTAAAAGAGTTAGATGAATACAGATTGTAGAATTAATATGCTCGTGCATTCAGTTCGCACAAAATTTTATTTTATTTTTCTTTGTTTAGCAATGATACAGACAAGCCTATCCATTTTTCTCAGTAGCCACTAATGTTTTAATGAAACATATCAGACAAGCAGTAGACCACTGGTTAACATGTAAGTTCCTTACCTTCATCCATTTCTTCAGGCTTGCTTTCAGTTGCAAGCTTCTCATCAATATCCTCTTTGTTCTGTACATCCATGTCTAATAACATATTGATAAGCTCACTAGTTGCTTCCTCTACCAATGAGCTTTTCAGGTGCAATGTGTATGCTCCCTTAGTACAGAGCTCCTGCAAACAAAATGTGAAAAAACAGTTCGCTTTAGTTCTGGTTTAGCACTGACAGCAACAGGATAGCTGGAGCCCAGTTTATCCAAGTTCTCTTGTGTTGAAAGGCAACACCCAACTCATCACCATGAGAACTGTGGATTGTGTCCTGTTGGTTGCCTTCCATTGAGAGAAGATGTTTTGATCAAGCAGAAGGAATAGCAAGGAAACAGACAGGGAAATGCCCCTTTGATACATTAGTAGACTAGCAAGGAAAATGGTTTTCATTTATCACTTCTCCCTCTTGTAACCCTCTGTGTATCATGCCACACTTTCCGAGGGTACACAAAATCTCTAGAGCAAAACAGGGGTAACAGGGAGCTGGGAAGAGAAACCACAGAAGTGTCTCCTTTACAATTCCACTAAAACAAGCATGAGTCACTAACAAAAGTCTACACACCCCAGCCTCCTCGAAGGACCCAGAGAAAATATTTTGAATTCTAAAATAGAAATCATATCCTTCAGAGGCCTCAAGGGGTGGGCACAATTTGAACTATACACCCAATTTCAATCTGCATGCAAAAAGCATTTATGACAGTGTGCTATAGTAGACAGAGTTTAAGACTAGGATTCAGGAGACCTGGATTTGAATCTTTGCTCAACGAAAGTACGTAAGTCACTATGGGGTGGCATTGGTAATCTATTTATTGAACATCTCACACACCTTGAAAATTCAGTTACGGTCAACACTAGAAGCAACTTGATGGCACATGATAACAATAAAGTTTGCTAAGCCTGTTGTTCTCATTGATTTCAACTTGATAAGCTATTTCTATGAGGAATTTTCAATGATCAAGAGATTCCTCTATTCCTGAAGAATATGAGGCAAAAGGCACTGTTTTTCCTCATTAAGGTATCCACAGCTTGTGCAAACTATCTGCATAGATGTAGTATCCCTTTTCTTTGAGAAGAAAGGCATACACACACACACACAAACACACACACACAAATCTACAGAAGCAAAGAAGATGACTGACATCAAAACAGATATGAACACTAACACTTCTAATCATTCAAAATACAGCAACAAAGCACCAACCATTGTCATTTTGAGCGAGTTGTATTATTTGCTTTAAAGTATTATTTGTGCTAAAGTACCACTTTGTGCAATTTTGCTTATTTTCTGTTTCAAAAATAGTTCTTGTTCTCCTTTTGTCAATAGCACCCTAAAATACCTTCCCCTCCTGAAGGTGACAAGAGTTTTTCTGCAGTTCCTTGCCCTTCACCTGCAACAACTGGACAAGTCAGAACCTGCATTCCCATTTAAAATATGGTTTTAGAAACTAGGAAGGAACCTGTTGATCACTTCTGGGTTTTATTAAAGATTAAAATCATTGAGAGAGATTTTAAAACGATGTGTGATGATTGCAACGAGGACAATGATAATAACAATAATAGCAACAAACTGTGCAAAATTGAAAGAAATAGGGTGAGTTGAAAACTAAACTTACACTATATACAGACACTTCTTATAAAATAAATTTTAATAAGGGAAAGATGGTAGAAGATGATTCACAACATGGAATTCCATTGCAAATGTAAACCTAAGAATCTGTTCAATAGCATCTCCAATCCCAAATATTTGTTTTCATCAATGCTCATATTTTACCTCATAATTGCATCTTTAAAAAATAAACTATTTCAGTGACTTGATTTTTTTTTTTAATTGTAAGCATCATTATGACTCCAGACCTCAGCTCCTATCAGACTAAACCTGCTCTGGTGTAATTCTTGTTGATATAATTAACCTGTATCTGAATTGTCCTATTTCATCTTGCAGATAAGGGCTCAGCTTATCTAAGTCAAATCTAATATCAATTTTTTTCTGCACTCAGAAAAATAAATGGCAGGGAAAACTCTCATGTGTCCTCTTCCATGACATGCTGGTTTTCTAAGTGAGGAGAATTGTGGGAGAGTGAAAGCAAATGAAATTTGTTGTGAAGGTAGCAGCTGAGACACAGGGGTAATCCCTGTGCTTATATGATCATACCTTTGTGATATGAAGAAATTGCTCACAGGTCAATGGATCATCTTCAGGGAGGTTGCAAAGAGGCACACTGCTCATTTCTTGAAGAACAGTATTAATACGAAATTCTATCAAGTCATTTATTCGATCAAGCAGCAGCTCAAAGTCAGCTTGAAGGATAAAGAGCAAAATCAATACAATTAACAAGCCAGGTACTTTCAGAAATCGTGTTCCATTCTATGAAGCATGAATGTGATTATGTGTTAGAAGAGTCTAGCAACATTTCAAACAACCTTTAAAGAGTACCATTCTAAAATAGGGCTAAATTCAATTGTAAATCTCAACTAGAGTAGACCCACTAAATGAATGGGACTTGTTAAGTCAGCATTTGAAGACTCTGTCTCTTATGTTAGTCCTATTTGTCAGGTCAGGGAGTCTGATATGTGGACATCTCCCGAGGAGCTCTACAGAACTTTAGAGAAACATCAGAAGTCTTGCATTCTTTGCTTATGCTTTGTTATTTACTTATTTATTTATTCATTCATTCATGCTTTCATTCATTCATTTATTTGCCACCCATCTAGCAGCCGAGGCCACTCTGGGCGGTTTACAACAAATATTTCTAAAACATATTTAACGGTCAAGAATGTTCAGGTACAGTGACTTGCTTGGCTAAGAGAGCTAGCCAACCGTTTTGCAATGACATCAGTAAACTATTGTTCAATCTTCAATTTTAAAAACATTTTCAATTTTAAAAACACTTTTCCTTGTAGTAGAACAAACACACATCTAGAACCCTTATTAGGCTGAAAGCAGCAGACAAAGAGAAGGTTAATCATTCACACATGGAATTTTTTTGCTTCAAAGTAGATCCTTTCATTGGCTTTGCTAAGCTTTGGTTACCAATGAGAGCTGTCAGTCCCATGTCTAGCACTAAATACCTAGTTCAGCCACCCAGAATAAAAGGTTTCACATGAATATGCTTTCTGCATATTATTACAAAGAAAAAGAAGGAAGGAATTGTCCAAAACAATAGCTCCAATCATCCTGTTCAGGAAGCATTTCTGCTTCAGCAAATTCAAAGTGTCTATCCAAAACTTTAAACTTGAGACAGTGATGAGGGTCAGAGCAAAAGGTCAGTTTGACACCCCTCTCAGCAGAAAAATTCCTTCTACAGTATTTCAGCATACCTTATGAAAGTCAGTACTACTGGACTAACTAAATAGATAATCTGCAAAGCTCAGCATTTAGTGACCATGAGGGTTAATACAGCTCTATATTTGCATGCTTGCTTTTATGGGTCTATCAAAAAAGTGTTGGTCTGATTCTTCATGTTCGACTTACCAAGTTTATCCAAAACATTCTGTAAGTATTTCTCAATATTCAAGGATGTCCAGGTCAGGGTAGTCAGACCAGGCTGTATGGCATCATCCACTTTAGCAACATGAGGAATCATTAGTGTAAGAAGAGGAGCTTGGATTTTGGATTTCACTCTTTTGTACTCTGCCAGCATCATCTGAAATGAGTCCCCAAAAGATCTATAAGCATACAGTAGAAGAAACCCTAGTTCACTCAATTTGCTGAGCTTTGCTCTACTGACTTTACAGCATAGTTCCATAACTTTGTAACCCGGGAAGTGAAATACAGTGAAATAATGTGAGAAACACATTGTTTTTGCAGTTCCAGATCAGCAGCAAAGGCAGGTTTACAGAGCCTTTGCTGGATAGCTTATAGTAGACACAACATAATTGTATTTTTAGATATGTTTTCTTGATCTGTTTTAATTCCTGTAAGCCGCCCCGAGTAGACGTTGTCTAGAGGGGCGGGGTAAAAATTGAATAAATAAATAAATAAAATAAACAGGTCACAAGATTCAGAGGCATACTTCAAAGCATGGACGAGGAATGTGCAGCTCTCCAGATGTTGCTGGACTACAACTCCCATAACCCCTTGCTCTGCTGTTTAGAGCTGATGGGATTTGCAGTTGACAACATCTAGAGGGCCACTGTTTTTTTCCTCCTGTGATTTAAAGTCTACCAGAGTGCTAATCGCATAACAATTTACAGGATTCCTTTTTCTAAAGGTATAGATTATATAAAATTAACAGTAGTTCATCCCATCATTACTCTCCAGGTCTGCTTAGACATATCAGATTTAGTAAGGTATGGATAAAATTGGCAACAAATACCACCTAGCTATTTAAATAAACCAGGAAAGAACTCAGCCAAATCAAAAGGATAACATAAAACAAGATGGCTTTTTGTGACATTCTTCTACATAAAAGCATTATGAAATAAATTTAGATGTTGCAAATAAGATGCTAGAACAGAAAGTCCCAGCATTCCTTATCTTTGATTGTGCTGGCTAGAATGAACAGGAGCAGTGACAATGCCTGAAGGATCACATTTATTTATTTATTTGTTTGTTTGTTTGTTTGTTTGTTTGTTTGTTTGATTGTTTGATTGATTGATTGATTGATTGATTGATTGATTGATTGATTGATTGATTGATTGATTGATTGATTGATTGATTTTTACCCCACCCCTCTAGACGTCTACTTGGGGCGGCTTACATAGGTTAAAACACAACAAGATAACATATATAAAAACAATTAATTTTACATTTTTAAACAATACATTTCCAAGATGGCAAGACTCAAACAAGGAAGAAAAAGAAAACACTTAATTGACTGGAGGGAAGGCCTGTTTAAACAACCAAGTTTTCAACTGGTTTTTGAAAACACCCAGCGAGGGTGCCGGCCGAATTTCAGTAGGGAGAGTGTTCCACATGTTTATCCACCTCTTAAATAACTGAAACCCGTGGTGCAAGAGGGCTTTACCCCCTAGAAAAGTGGTTCCCTGTCTTGGGTAATCCTGGTGTTCTTGAACTACAACTCCCAGAAAACCTGGCCAACACAGCTAGTGATGAAGGCTTCTGAGAGTTTCAGTCCAAGAACACCAGGGTTACCCAAGGTGCTGGTGTTTCCCAGAAATGATGCAGATTTATTCAAGCAGTGGAAGAACACCTGTAGCTTATCGAAGTTCTGTTTGTAAGTATCACGTTTTTGTTGAAGAGCAATGGCAAATGGTGGAATTTCCAGCCCCATGCGTGCCATGCACTCTGTTTCCCTTATTAAGGTGAGAATCTCTGGGTCAAAATTCACAAATATTTCTCCGGTCTCTGGAGCTTTCACCAACAAAGATGCCTGAAGTCCTGCTTTGGTTAGTTGCACCTGTAGACAAGGAATACACATGAAACATTAGTCTTCTCAAGACTAGTTCATCTTGCACATTACCATTGAGCAATGACTCCACTGCTAGTTAGTCTCACTGTAAGACAATACTTGGTCTACCCAGTAGAGGTTTGAGTCTTAGATTCAACTAAAAACATCACTCTTTTTCCCACATACTTATAACTTGGGTCACATGGTCTTGTGAATTCTGATCCAATCTATCATCAATGGAAGGTCATAAATAGCATTCTTGATGAATGTATTTTAGGGTGACACATTATCTTTAATTTCTAGCAATACTGAAGATATAGTCATGCTGTCTGTTAGGAAACTGAAGGCCAGCCATAGAGTATGAAGGTCAAGACAACAGCATAATTTTCTATATGTGCTATTCTATAAGCAGCTATGAAAATACTACAACACAGGGCAGCTCATGGTAGACTGAATGATTTTTGGATTCAGGCATCCACCTGTTAAACTCATGCTGCATTAACAGGTGACTTTGCTAAGAAGAAATACAAAGTATACAAACAAATTGGAGGTGAGGTATTAGATTTGATTGACACTAGTCAAGCAATAGGAAACTTATGCAAATGTTTACCATGGAAGCTTACCTGTTGAAGCCATCCCCTGTGGTAGACAATCTCAAACTCCAGAAGGACTTGAGCCACCCTGTTATAGTTGCGGATGATGGGCTTAGCTTCTGCTGTCTGCAAAACTGTAGAATGCTTTTGGAAAAGACTCATGGGTTCTTGGATTCTGTGGAACAGCTGCCGGGCCCATAAGATCTTCCCAGCCATTGGAGGAAGGTTACGAGCCAGTGGAGGATCATTCTTTTGCCTGGAATACAGCTTAGAGACCATCTCAATGTCATGGCCATAGTTTTGAAGGATTACTTTGTATTTATCATCAATGCCAAGGTTTGGGATTTTTAACCTGCAAGAAGGATGCAGTCGGGAAAGATATGTCAGTATGAGGTTCCAGGTAGCCCATCAGTTTCTTAACATGGAATAATATAGTTGAAGGGGATCTGAAGGATGATCTATTACAGCACCTACAAGATGTCCCATGAGTTTGGTCTACGCCGTCCCCATCATCTCATGTCACTCTTAATGCTTCATAGGACAAAATATCATAACCAAATTGATATGTCAAAAGCCTGGTTGGTTATATTAATTTTTTATTACTATATATGAACATTTTATATCCAACATGCTCCATTTCTTCCAGTGAGTTCAAAGTGGCTTTTAAGGCTCCCCTCTGCACCTCATAGCCTTACAATCCCATGAGTTTGGGTCAGTCACACTCTATTAAGAAAGGGCAACTAACTCAATGTCACCTAGTAAATGTCATGACTTAGTGGCAAATAGAACTTAGATCTCCCAAACCCCAATCCTACACTCTAAGGCATTCTGAGTCATTTGATTGAATACAGGTCATTTCAAATAAGTTGTACAATACGTAACACACATGCATTCTTTCTCTCCCTTCCCTCCCTTCTCCTTCCCTCTGTTAGACTGTAAGCTTTTTATCTGTATAGCTCTCTCAGTTTTTTGTCTATGGAAGTTTAAAGCTTTACACTGATGTCACCTATGATGGCAACGATGATGACAATAATAGCGCAAAAGGAAACACAGTACCTATTCAAACAGAAAGTAAAAATTGACAGATTATTTCGCTATTAAACATTATGCCACTTGTCTGAGTTACTAGTATGCAGGGACTGACAGACATAATAGTGAACTGCAACCCAAGATATTTTACCCCATGTTTACTGTATAAAGAGGAAACTAGAGCCAAATATGCTTAGTGCTCTTTGGGTTACAAATACTGTAGGCAAATTGTACATTCATCCAGTACTGCAGGAGCTTTCGATAGACAAGGAGTGTTCTTTCGCCACTTGCTGAGATAACAGGGCCTTACCATTTCTGGAAGGTTCTTGTTCATCCCAGGCAGCAAGCCTATATACTATGGAAATTCAAGCTCTGTTTCTGTAAGCAACACTATTTAAATGTGATTCAGAATAGGGGGCAATAAGGTTATAACTGTACTGGCATTTTCATATTCCAGACTAATCATGTTTACCTTTCAAATTTCTTCAGCATATCAAGAGCTCTTTCAGTGTGTGTAATCTTTTCAAAGGTAATGTCCATAAACACTTGTAATTGTTGCTGAAAACAGAAAATGTAAGGATAGGAGATGTTGATTACATATATTGTACTGTACTAGCCAGGTCTTAAGATGTCATCACATTCTAATGTGACCAAAGAAAGGAAGCCAAAGAGTTCCAATCAGCTCTTAAGAATAAAGAAATGATGATGATGTGAGGTCAACTTATGGCAACCCTCACAGAGTTTTCTAGATATACTCACAAGTGGTTTACCAGTCCCTCCTACTGGTGGCTCTCTGAGACAAGGCAGCTTGCCCCAGGCCATAGAAGTGGCAGAGCAGATAAGCCACACACACTCAGGATGATCTCAGCTGGCCTGTGGTCCAGTAACCATAGAGAGGCCTCAACTTCCCAGCCTGCGGCTCTGCAATCAGTCATTCTAAGTCACTCAGCTATACCAGCTCCTCCAATAGGGGGTAGCTTTATTCTCAGTAGACAAGGCAAAGCTGGGAAAACTTGTTCACCCAGGAGGATATATTCCTCATGCTTTCCAAGGGCCATATGCTTGTGATAAATGGGGCCATAGCATAAATGGTAACTCTACTCTCTCTGTCTCTGTCTCCCTCTCTCTCTCTCTCTCTCTCACACACACACACACACACACACTCACACACACACATTTATGTACAAACACTCATCCACATGCATACATACACAGAAACAACATGCATTCAATACAGCATTTAAGCTTGGAAAAAAGATCTCACTGAAGTCAATGGGAGATTTTCTTAAAAGCATAACTGCTATGTGCAGGAAGTTAACCCTTTCTACCACAGTTGTGACATAAAAAGTCCTGCACAGGAATTAACATTTGCAGGGGAGGCCTTGTATAGGTATCAGTGAATTATTATTATTATTATTATTATTGGCTTTTACAAGTGGGTTTGGGCCCCTAACAATAGCACCAAAAGCTGTAGGCCTGATGGGAAAGAGCCAGGGGCTGGAGGTATCTAATCCATGGTTTAGGGTCAACATGGAAAGGGACTATGTTTAATGGTGCAGTTGGATACAACTTTTCCCTTTTTTTCTCTCTAAATGAATGGCTGCTATTAAATCTTATCAAGAAAATTGAACTGTTATGCCTGGGGACACCTAGGCTTAGGATCTCAGGGGAGTGTACTGTCTGGAGCTGATATTTGCTACCAAAACATAGTTCTATCCAAACATTATTTTAAAAGAGAACCTCCTATACTGTACTGAAAATGTACAGGATAGAATATTCAATATTAGAGATGGGCACGAATCAGAAAAATGCTGATTTTATTTATATTCATGATTCATCAAGGTTGGCAAATTACAAATATATGATTTTTTTCCTGATGAATCAATGAATCAATTCATCAATCTTTTCTTTTTAATTTATAACCCTATAAAATGGCTTCCCAAGCACCTAGACACACCAAATCCACAGAGAGGTTTCTATAGACTCTCCTCTACAAGCCTTCCAAGTCTGGTGAAGATTCAGTTCCAGATGTCCAAATTATACACCCACAAGGAGGGGGCCCTAGGAAACTGCCCTTTAGCTGCTGATTTGGGGAAACCAAATCTTCACCCAACTTGGAGGGATTGCAGAGGAAAGTCAGCAGAAGCTTCTCTGTAATTTTGGTGTCTCTAAGTGCCTGGGGAAAACTTTCCTGGGGGCCCTCTTTGTGGTTGTATAACTCAGACATCTGAAACCCAATTTTCACCAAATTTGGAAGGATTGTAGAGGAGAGTCAGAGGATAATTCCCTGATAATCTGGTGTCCCTCGGTGCCTGGGGAACATTTTATAGCCAAATGAATCAATGAATTTAAAAATCACTAAAAATTAATTGATTCATATTCATTGGTGGCATTATTTATACGAATATGAATCGATGATTAGCAATTTTTGAATAGATTTGGTGATTCATTTTTTAATTCATGCCCATATCTTTTCAATATACCAAATGCCGACCATCTGACAACCCTGTTTTCGACAAGCGGTTCTCAGTACTCACACTGGGGTAGATACAAATTTCATTAATGTATGTATCCAAAGACAGCGCTCACACTCAACAATCAAAAACGAAAGCATAAAATCAGCAAATGTGAAACTTACATGAAGATCATTTGTTTGCTTAAGAAACTCTTCATAGTCTTGGTCAAACTCAGTTTTCCTTTGATCTAAGAAGTTGTACTTCTTCTTTTTCATGGTGGCAACAATGCTCTAATGTTGGAAATTGAATGTTGTCAAAAAGATGACACCAATCTCTCTTTAGAAAAGGAGGGGATTAAACACATGCTCCCCCCTCCAACAAAAATTGTTTCTCAAAACAAACACAAACTAAGTTTCTTGAATTTAAAGCAGGACTAAATATAATGTGAAGGTAAGGCCTGCATCTATTAATTAGATAATAGTTTGCACACAACAACCTTCAAAGACTGAATTCTGACAAAACCAAAACAAGTTTCTTTTGAGGAAAATAAGTGTTCAAACATGCAAGAATGTGCAGCACTGCTGAAGAGCACACTCTGGTGCAATGGCTTTGTTTGACAGAAGACAGACAGAAGCAGAAATGTATACAAGTTTGTAGAGTTAAACATGTTCCCTCTGTGTTGTTTTCCTTTAGTAAAAGCCCTCCAGTGAGAAGCAAGAAGTCATTTTCATAGGCACAATCCAATCCACATCATTAGCAACCCCAGCATTTTACCTCCCATTGTTCCTGCATGGCCACAGTCTGCACAAATGAAAGTACAATAAGTCATCTTAGTGATTTTAGTGGTCACTAACTGCACAGAGACTAGGGAGGATCCTTAACAACCTCAACAAAATATAATACCCAGCATTTGGGGCTAAGACAGGGGGCTATTACAATTACACTGGTACAAGATCAATGTTTAACAAGCCGGCAGAAGCCTAAAAGATGCTGCTTGGGTCCCCACTCCCTTGCTCTCATTGAGATTGTAAACCTGCATCTTTGCTGCACTGTGTCTGATCACTGGGAGGACTCACATGATTGAAGACACCTTCATACACAAGGCTGAAAAAGACATTTCCCATAGAAAACTCAGGGGAAAGCATTGAGACCTGTCAGGCACCACCAAAACTATTACTGTTCCTGCTGCTGCCAGCCTGGCTACAGCCTGCAGGGACGTGAGGGGGTTGCCCTGCAGATGCCTGAACTTGACAGCAGCATAATGCAGTGCCAGTGTGTTCAAGAATGCAGGGCCAGAGCAGTGCAGCATCACTGCCAAGCAGCCACCACTGTTGCTTAGCAACACTTGGCCAAGTTTCGGTGATTACTTATCTGCCTTTCTGCCTGCAATGGGGACTAAGTCTGGGTAATCAGATTTTTAAAAGGATAGGATTCCTGTGCCTTTAATAGTAGCTCAGAACAGGAAATTACAAAGCTTCAGCTTTTAGCAGGAACTACATCTCCTGCAATTTCCTCCTCCAGACAACTATTAAAGGTACAGGAACCTTGTCTTCTTCATCTGGTCAATAGACCAAGGTGATGGTCTAGCAGTGGTCCTGAATAAAGAACTCCAAGGCCATCTACCAGAACTCATTATCACCATAATCTTAACTGTGCCAACCCCACCTCAAAATGCACATGTCGTAGAATCAAAGAATAATGGAGTTCGCCTATAAAGCCATCAAGACCAACCCCCTGCTCAATGCAAGTATTCAAATCCTGCACCCTGAAATGACTGAGAACAGATCCTGCGCCTCTTCTGTATGGCAATCTTTGAACTATTTGAAGAGTGCTATCAAATCTCCCCTCGGTCTTCTTTTCTCCAAGCTAAACATGCCCAGTTCTTTCAATCTTTTCTCATAGGGCTTCATTTCCACTCCCTGATCATCCTTGTTGACCTCTTCTGGACGTCTTCCAGTTCATCTGCATCTTGTTAATGTGCGGTCTGCAGAACTTGATACAGGACTCAAAATGAGGTGTAGCAAGTGCCAAATAGAGGACAACTGGAACTTAAAATGATTTGGAGATTATACTTCTGTTAATGAAGCTTAAAACGGCATTTATCTTTTTTGCAGCTGCATCACACCGTTGGCTCCTATTCAATTTGTGATCTACACCAATTCTAAGGTCCTTTTCACATGGTTGGTATCAATGTACCCTCAAGAGGGTTTCACATGCAACCCTCTTGCATGTGAAACTTTGCCCCTGAGTGTGTGCATGAGACTCTGCCCCCCACCCCCTGCATGCAGGGTTCTGTTGCAACTGGAACCAAATTGGCTGAACGGGATCGCTGCAGAGAGGAGGAAGAAAGCTTCATGGAGGGAGGCAAGGGAACCTTGGCTGGTGTAACAGATAAAGATGCTGATGAATTCAGATGTATGACCTGGAGCTCCACCCAGTGCAGTCCTCATATATGCAGGGAAATGTGCAAACTGCCTTCTGTAAGCTAAGCCAAGTGAGTGGCTTGCATCCTCCCACCATAACTCAGAAGCCAGCCCTGAGCATACAAAAAAGCAAGTAGTACAGTGGTGCCCCGCATAGCAACGTTAATCCGTTCCGGATTAATCATCGTTATGCAAAAACATCGCTAAACTGATCAAAAACCCATAGGAACGCATTAAACTTTGTTTAATGCATTCCTATGGGGCCCCAAACTCACTGTTCAGCGAAGTTCCTCTATAGCGCCGCCATTTTCGTGCCCTCGGTAAGCGAGGGCAGGGCGCAAAAATGGTTGTGGCGGCCATTTTGGGCTTCTGTCGGCCATTTTGGAACCGCCGATCAGCTGTTTAAAAAAACATTGCAATACAAAGATCGGTAAGCAAAATGCTTACCGATCATTGCAATGCGATGTTTTGCCATTGAAAACATCGCAATGCGATCGCATTAGCAATCTGAAAAAACAGATCGCTATGCAGATTTGTCGTTAAACGGTGCGCTCGTTAAGCGAGGCACCACTGTATAGGCCAAACCTAAATCTATTGGATTCAGTGAGAACTCAACTTCTGTTATGAGCTCAGCTAGAGAATTTGGGCACATCACTTGTCTTAAGAGGACTGTGCATGTGCACATCTGTCACTCTGCTGCAAACTGGAGTGATTATTTATACAAAGGGAGCAGCCACATAACTTATTCCGCAAATCACTTCCAGAGTAGCTTTGACACTTCAGCTGAAGTAGACCTTGAGATCAGGTGAGTAGTCACAGAGTAACAAAACAATAATGTGATTAATAATATGCAAGTCAACTTTAATCATAGTTGCCTGTCTATAAAATGAGAAGAACAGCATCCTTCCTCATGGAAGGGTTAGGGAGATCAGCATTGTAAAGCAATCTCTGTCTCAGAATATTTATTGAATTTTAATTCCCGAGCTCAGAATCAGCATTACAACTTTTTGTGGAGTTTAAATTGATTAACTTTCCTATTAAACAGCAAACAAATGTCCAATTTTTTAATCAGCTTAAAAAAAAACAAAGGTTATTTTAGATTTTTTTTTTAGCCTATTCAATCTGGGGAAGCCTTTAGGTGCCTCAGATATAGGGAACCCTTTAATATCCAAAAATTGCCACCATCGGTCTAGCTGCTGGGATCGGGGTCAGCAGTGGCAATTTTCTTATATTAAAGGTGCTCCCCCAGGTCCCAAGGCCCACAAAGGCTTCCTGAGGTTGAAAGAATATCCATGGCAGATAACATTATCTCCATTTATCACCATGCTGCTCTGCCCAGAGGATTTCAGCCCCTATCTCTTAATAGGCACCATTAAGTAAGGATTTTGGTAGGTGTACTATTAAGTATAACAGCTCTACTACTGATGATCAAATTAAATGAAGTAGACTTTTTACATACCTGATATCTTGTTGCCATCACTTCTAGTCCTTCTATTTTTGAGTCTTGTAAAACTGAATAGGTTGTGATGGTGTCAAAGATTTTCATAATCTTCAGCAGGCGGCGATGAAAAGTTTCAAATTTTCCAAAAATGTACATCTCACTAAAATCAAACTGCCGTTCAGCTGGACTCTGTTCCAGTTTTTGTTTGGTCTTGTGAAAACAGTTTTGATATTCCTTAAAAACATAAGCCAGATTTATATCTTTATAAATGAACACATATTTCCATTCTTTCATTTACTCATTCATTCATTTCTCAACTGACTCTTAGAAAGCTATATTCCTTGATGAAACCCTACCATAATGGAATTTTTCACTATTTTTCTTTGCAGTACAGTATCTTCCCACTCTTACATCCCCATACCTTCTGAAACAGGATAGTCCAAAACATTGTGCTGCCTAAGTCAAAGCATAAAATGGTGTTCCCCGTTCCACATCCAGAAACCAGCAACAGTACCAATTGAATATTATTTTGAACCGAACAAGAGGACTCCATTCTCCATCCTACCTAAGACAGTAGACTTATACCTGTATACCAAAGAGGCTATCACCCCACTGTTAAATACCTATTAACTTTCTTATCAATCAACCATGATTTCTGTATTTCGATGCCATGTATAAATATTTGCCATATTACATCTCTCTCTTATTACGTCTGAAGAAGTGAACTTGTCCATGAAAGCTCACATTAAAATATAACGATCTTCAAGGTGCCACTGCATTTTTGTCTTTTTTAATTTGTTCTTTAATTTGTTCTATTTTGTTTTTGCCTATAATAGTTCAGTCAAGCCATGTGACATAGATAGCTTTTGAATAGCGAAAAGTGGCTGAGTTACTCAGGAACACAGCTATCCCCCAGTGTTTGTTACCCAATGCCATGGTCTCTTAATAGTGGACTCAGTAGAATTCATATTTATTTCTGCTTATATGTTATACCAAGATAGAAAGCTCACCTGTTTAAGTCTTATTGCTGCTTGAATTTTTTCCAGAACTATATCTTGAGGCTGATCCCAGATGGTGGCGGTGTTGTTATTGGTAATGTAAGACTTACAAGCAGTTATCATTTGATTTGTAACCTGCAAGTAAAGAAGAGGTTTATGATCTCCAGTTTTCTTAAAGCTTGGCTACCCATTATACTAATCAGAAGAAAAGCATTCTATACATGCCTCTTCAATACTTTGAAAGCTCCCTCTCCCCAGTAGCCAAAGAAAGCCAGATGGATTCAAAGCCAAGTCCATGGAGAAGAAAAAGCCATTGAGAAGATTCATTCTTCCACTGCTTATTATCAACTAACTCCCTCTTTGTGGCTAACTTACTCTCCTCTTCTCCTCTATCCCCCAACTGCTAGGAAAAATGTGACATTTCAAAAGGACAACATAATGGGGAAACCTGTAATTTGGAAAGGAAAAAAAAAACACCCTTTGACATAGTTTTTACAGTTCAAAGAGCAGTCTCAAAAGGAAGTGGCTATAACAGTGGAAACCATCACCCTGCCCCCCATAACAGATCCTCCACTCTGCCTGGAGCCCTGTCAGGCTCTTGTCTGCAGATGAGAAGTGACAATGAAGCTGGGTTTTTGTAAATGGGGGGTGGGGGAGCAGGAGGAATGTCCTTCCAACACATATTCATCCAGGCCAGTGGTTCTTAACCTTTGTTACTCAGGTGTTTTTGAACTGCAACTCCCAGAAACCCCAGCCAGCAGAGCTGATGGTGAAGGCTTCTGGGAGTTGCAGTCCAAAAACATCTGAGTAACAAAGGTTAAGAACCAGTGATCTAGACAATCCCTGTAGTGGTCTATGAGAGCATGAGTAAGGGTGATAAGAATTTGGGAACATGTTCTCTTTATCACCTTCATGGAGAGAATCCAGCCCACAACGGCTGGGGGGTGGACCTGGAATCCATTCTCATAACTGTATCTGTCCTTCCACTGCTGGAGTTCATCTCAGAAAGTGGGAGCTGATAATCCTATGGACTCAAGGACCACAGACATACCGTCTTAGCTTTAATTTTAAAAGAGATAGCCATGTTAGTCTGTGCTAGCATTATCAGGCAAAAGCAAAAGAAAATTTAAAAACACAAAAAAGTAAAAAAAAATAAAGACAAACATTTAGTGGCACCTTAAAGACTAATTGTTACATTTCATATGAACTTTCATGAACAAATAGACTTTTGAGGAAGTGGTCTTGTCCACAAAAGCTCACATTAAAATACAGCAGTTAGTCTTTAAGGTGCCACAACGTTTCTGTCTTCTTTATTTTTATTTTCTTTTGTTTTAGCCTGATATGTCTTAGCTTTGTGCTCTGTGTCATTTACAGTGGAACCTCTACTTACGAACGTAATCCGTCCCAGACGATGTTCGTAAGTTGAAATGTTCATAAGTAGAAGCACCATTTCCCATAGGAATGCATTGAAAACCGATTAATCTGTTCCGGCCAAAGAAAAAAATTACCCCCAAAAAATAAAAATAAAACACTGCAAGTCCCTGGGGCTGCAAAAACCCAAATCCAAAAATAAACAGAAATATAACCCTGCCCCCCCAAAATAAAAATAAACACTGCAAGTCCCTGGGGCTGAAAAAAACCACATCCAAAAATAAACAGAAATATAACCCCACCAGCCCGATCCCACCCTGCAAAAGATAAATAATTTTTTTTTAAAAAGCAAAAAGCACCTTAGCTCCATTGCCACAACCGCTGCTGCCAGGAGATTAAAAAAGCAAAAAGCACCTTATCTCCATTGCCACAACCGCTGCTGCCAGGAGGCCTCCCAGGCTCCAGCTGCCAGGCCAAGACTTCTCTGCCGCCGTCGGAGGCTTTCCTGGGGTAGACTAGGCCTACTGGGAAAGCCCTGCTTGACCAGGGCTTCCCCTGGTAGGCCCGGTCTTGAAGCCCTGCTAGACCAGGGCTTCCCCTGGTAGACCCGGTCTACCCCGGGAAACCCTGCCTCAGCGGCGCAGAAACCCTGGCCCGGCAGCAGATCCCCTGCCTCAGTGGCGCAGAAACCCTGGCCCGGCAGCAGATGGCGGTGGAGAAAGGCGCCACTTGTGGCGAGCCCCGAGAAAGCCTCCCATGGTGGCAGACAACCCGTGCTGCGGCGGAGAACAGCGGTGCTTGTGGCGAGCCCCGGGAAAGCCGCCACTTGTGGCGAGCCCCAAGAAAGCCTCCCATGGTGGTAGACAACCTGTGCTGCGGTGGAGAACAGCGGCGCTTGCGGCGAGCCCCAGGAAAGCCTGCAGCGCTGGAAGTCCAGGAGGCTGAGCCCAGCCGGGATGATCCAGCGGCTTGCCTCCCGGAGGTGGTAGCAGCAGCAGTGGAAGCCCGGGAGGCTGAGGCTTCCTTTCCCCTAACCATTGGGGCAAAAGAGCTACAAAGAAGCAGCCTCTTCGCCACCAATGGTTAGCAAATTTAAATTTCCCGCCCTTTTCCCCGCCTCTTTTTTGTTGAAGCTCTGTTCTCAAGTAGAGGCAAAATTTTGCGGACGGAAGTTGAAGCTCTGTTCACAAGTAGAGGCAAAATTTTGCGGACGGAACTGTTCGTAAGTTGAAATGTTCGTAGGTAGGGACATTCGTAAGTAGAGGTTCCACTGTATTTTCAATTTTCAGAACTGATACTCACTATCTTAGCAAGACATATTTATCCAATCATATGCTGTAGAATACATTATTAATTGCTTCCAAGCAAGTTAACGTCAATGTCAGTCAAATAGGATAAATTCAGAAGAGCTGCCTGGGTACGAACCTTCACAAACAAGGACGTTATCTTCTCTGAAGTATTGTAGTAGCGTGAGATGCTATGGATCATTTTGATCGCATGTATAAGGCCCGGAATAGCATCTACCATGGCCACCTGAAATGCCAACAATATTATCATTAGAAATCCTCCACTAGTTTAAAGCTATACTAGCCTTCCCTAGTCTGGGAACCCACAATTATGCAGGTTGTGGATGATGTGTACTGTAAACTAACACATCTTCTTGATAGAACCTACTTGGGAAAGGGAGCTTTACACTATACACAATGAGCTAAGTGGCACAATTCTAAAGTCACAACTGAAAAAAACCTGTTCATGTAATGTTATCCTTACATCTATTTTAAACTGCAGTCCCAGTAATTGGCTTGTCATCTGGCATTTTCTTTGCTATACCGAAGCATATTTATACAATGAGAAAACTATTCATACTTACTGGATCACTATTGTATAAGGGATCGCAGCATTTCTCAAGGGTGTACAAATATTTGACATTATCTTTAGCTTCATTTGTTGCATCTGTGATCCGAGCATCCAACTCTCGCCAGCTCTTGAAAAACGGAAATGAAAGTGATACAATTTATTTAAAAATATGTGTGGAAGTGAACCTTTCTTTACAAGAGATACAGTAGGACCACTGTATCTGTGGGATCAGTACCAGCGGTTTCACTTATCCACCGGCTAATTAATTAATTAATTAACCGTTCCTGAGGTGTACTGCCAGGACTGGCCACTAGATGGAACCATAGACTATGCTATATACAGTAGGACCCTTGTATCCATGGAATATCACTCCAAGCCCCCACCCCCACAAATGCTGAAAAATGCAAACACTCTTTTAATAGTGAACACTATACGTAGCATGGTCTCCCTCTAGTGGTCGGTTCTTGTAATGACATCATGGAAATATGTTTCTCTAGCAAACACTATACATAGCATGGTCTCTGGTTCCCTCTAGTGTCCGGTTTGGGCAAAAATACTGCTCCAGAATATGAAACGTTCCTGGTTATAAGGATTAAGGACATAAATCCTTTTTTGTATCATCTTTGTGGGCAAGAAGAAGGAATTGCATCACTTATCTTTTCAACTTAAGTGAGATTTTATTGAATCAATCTTCACATTTGTGATGCGTTTTTTTAGCGCAAAATAAAGTAACAAATAAAGCAAAAAATGAAAACCAGCTAGGATAGCAGCTACTTTATTTTATGGATGCTCGTTTATTTGAAGCCTTAAAAAGATTGTTTGTGCCTTTCTTAACAACCAGACAGTTCTTCTGTGCACATGTTCACTGTGACCTGAAGGCAAAAAGTCCAAAGGTCCCCCTCTTGGCTGGAAGGAAGGAATCTCACAGCGCTGCCGTATTCCTTGATGGCATGTCTCATGGAGCTGAAATAGATGACGTCCCCTTTTTGTGAAGGGGACACTCCAGCAGGCTGTCTGACTCAAACCCACACCCTACCTGGAGAACTCACCAGCATGTGGCCTGAGGGCATGCACGGCAGGAGGGGGCCAAGGGGGAGTCCGAGGTGGAAGAGCAACACCTGGAAAGTGGACCCAGAGCCAGGGCAAGTTGGCAGAAGCCAGGTTTAGAGAGGGAGGAAGAGGGTAAGGGAGGAGGCTTGTCACCATAGAACTGGGCAGAGACCTCCCAGGAGCCCTCTCCTATCTTCTGTGTGCCCTTGGTAAAAACCAGCCACTGCTGCTCCAGGACCTATCTGGACCCCACTATGGCAGCAGAGGAGCCCGGTCAAGCTCTGAACCACCACAACCACTACTACCCAGAAGAGGCGCTGGCAGAGGAAGAGGAACAACCAGGGACTGCAGCAGATCCTTCAAGAGTGAGATGAGCTGTTGGGGCTCAGGAACCTTCATTGTCCCAGCATTGCCAGCACTCCCTAATGATCATTAGCTGACTAGGGTCAGTGCTGTGAGCTCAAGATTCTGGGGGACCAGTGAGAAGACAGTGAGCTAGAGGGGGCTAGTGAAGGCAATTAAGTCTCCCTATGGACTGTTGGAGTGGGAGGTACGAGGCACCCAATCTGATGGTGTGCCCCATTTCCTTAAAGCCAAGTTTCAATAGTAATGAAAGTCTGAAGTCCATGGAAGCTATGATGGAGGAGACTTTCTTGGTGACACCTTCACACACCCCAAAAGGAATATAGTACCAAACAGCAAACTCATGTTGGTATACATTTACATTAGCATAACCTTGACCAGGCACTGGGAATATTTAATTTAAACTAATGGAATTCTTCCTATCTCCACCCCCTTCAGGTTCTGAGGCCCCCTAGAAACCCTCTTTTGCCATGGGGAAGCCTTTCAGAGCCTCAGAATGGATGGGAAGGAGGCCTTTTAAAAGGAAAAAAATTGCCACCCGGCCAATGCTAGAGGTTCCAATTGATCACCAAAGTCTTCTCTAGGGCAAAAGAGAGCCTTAGGGAGCTCAGAACCTGAAGCTGGGAGATTGAAATCTTCCCGTTAATTTAAATTAAATATTTGCATTACCTAATCAGTTACACTGGCATAAATTCATGACAAAAGGATTTTGCCCAATTTCTCACTGTGCATCCCAGAAAAGCCAGCCTGTGTGGGAAAGCTGCGAATATTATATCTACCATTGGGAGCTGCTGTGTGAGCTTATGGAGTCATGTGCTCAATAGGATACACAAGTATTACTTTTGGAACATAATGTTTGCTTTGAGTCTAATGCAAATAGACCCACCTTCAAAAGTTTTGATTTAGCAACAGTAAGCACTCCAAGCACAGCCTTCACATCTGATGTCTTCAGCTGGTCCAGTAAGTAATTAAACTTGGACAGTCGCTTCTTCCAGTGATCCAGTTCTGCTCGTGGTCCGAGGTCATCTGCTTCTTTTCGCAGCTGGTTATTCTCAGCAATCACCTGCAGTCCACAGAGAAGCTGATTATCTAGCAAGAGAGTTAAAATGCTTCAACAGACCAAGGAGAGAAATATGGCTTCCCACACTCCTTATCGCTGACTACGCTGGCTAGTATTATGAGAGTTAATGTCCAACAACACATGAAGGACCTCCTTTCTAATCTCCACATAGACTGAAAAGCAGTGGTCCCACAATTAATACAGGGCCATGTTTATCAGTGGCAGTGGCTACTGCTTCTCCTTCCCGTAGGCCCCTGTGGTTTGTGTGGGCCTTTTTCCTGTGCTTTAGTGTGTGAGGGTTCAAATTGGGCTTCTGGCTGGTCAGACACAAACACGGGACACCTGGGCTTCTGGCTGGTCAGACACAAACATGGGACACTCATTCTTTAAGAACTCAAAACTGGGATTTATTGGTACATTCAACTTGTGTTCGGCAACTTTAAACTTGTTAACAACTTTATCTCTCATCGCCAGCGGGTCAAACAAGGGTGTCAATAAGTCTTGTAGAAACGGGTTATAACTGGATTCATACCACGGACCTTTAACAAAAGGGTTGGTGTCCTCATAGTCTGGTGAATCCAAACCATTGTCAATCAAGGGAAGGGTCTCCTCATCTCTTCCCTCTGAGTCGAAGGGGTTGGCTCTCTCGAGTAGTGGGTCCCAGGGTCCGGTAAATACCTCATCCGGTGAGCCTCCTCCAGACGCCATGCTCTCCTTTCTCGTACCTCCCGCTCTACTGCTTCTTTCGCTTCCCTTAATCTCCTCTGCCACTCTCTGGCTTCTGATTCCCCCCAGTAAGAGGGTCTAGGAGGTAAACCCCTCCGTCTGTGGTAATCTGCCTCTTCCTGAGGCATTCAAATCTTTTCACATTTCCCTGTCCAAATCAACTCCCAACCCCCTGGTATGTCATCTCTCTTCCCTTTTAGATCCACATTTCCCGCCTCTACCAACGGTCTGCCCCTTTCTTCCGTTCCCGCCTTTTCAGTCCCGGTTTGGGTAGACACTGATACCTTTGCTATCCCCTGTTCTAGGTCCTGGGTACTCCCTGCTGCACTGTCACAACGCGGGAGGCTGGAGATTCTGTCTGCACCTCTTGCTCTTTCTTGGAGGAGGACGACACTCTGGCGAGGGCTTCAATCCCCTCACCTCTAGTCTCACACAGTGCCTGGCCGATCGGGTTCGCTGGGAATGGAGTTAATTCTCCAAGGGGAGTGCCTGGCCAATCGGGTTGGCTGGGAATGGAGTTAATTCTCCAAGGGGACTGGCCCATCTGGGAAGTATGTAAGCAGATGCACTTGGCTCTGGGCAGCCCATCTGGCTGGACATCTTCCTGGACATCCTCCTTCACTTCAGTTATAGCTGCACTTGGCTCTGGGCAGCCCATCTGCCTGGACATCCTCCTTCACTTCAGTTATAGTTTATGAGGATGGGGGCAGAGAGACCATGTGCATGCCCAGCGAAAGGGTTTTTGCACACTTTCCATTCTCAGGTATCAAAGAGGCCCACACAATGGGCATGTGTCCACATGGTTAATCCCAATTGCTATCACCATGGTTACCATCAGCTGGCAGGCAGGTCAGCTGATGAGGGATCCATCCTCCATGCTAACTCCAGGACTAATCAATAAAGCTGTAGTGGGTTTTGTTGAAAATACTGTATGTTGTGACCAGTGTGGTTATTTTCTATGCCCCAGCCTCTATACTATCCACCACTAGTCTAATGGGTTTGCACTGCAGCACTGACATTTGAATCTCTCTCTCATTCTCTTTATAACATACCTACATAAACAAATACACATAGAACAGTGGCTTTTAGAAGAATACACTGCCTGAAGGATGAAGCATACACTTTCTGCATAATAACTAGTTAGGACCTTGACATCATGAGGTAAAAAGTGGCACATCTTTACTGATTTTTTTTTAGGATTTATTATCACAACCACCACTGTTTTGTAGCACTAATGAGAAATTTCTGTGGAAGAATGACTATAATTCTTTGCACGTTCTTTATCTCTATGTTCAATGCAATGCTTACCTGTTCAATTTGTTTAATCCATGCTTTCATGCAGGCTTCTATTCGCTCCAGGGTCTCTGTACTATTTGCTGCAACCATATAGTCTGCAGGGCCTTTAAGGGTTTTCAAATCATAGGTTTCACACTCCTTCAGAGTCACCTAAATAATATGTTAAAATCCATTTTTCCACTTATATTTTCAACACCTTAGTTGTCTCAGAAATTATAGCTATGTATAGGCTACCTGTACTACAACTCCCATAAATTCTGACTGTTGCCAACATTGCCTGACATGAGGGAGAGGCAAGCTGCCCATCACTGACGTGTCTGTTTGTACCTGTGCTTCCTGCTCCCCTAATCCAATTTCATCATTTTGGCTGGTCAGAGATGTGCAGATGCCAGCTTCCCACTGCACTATGTAACCTGATACCATGGCCAAATAGTATAGTTCCTGCAAGGATACTCAAATGGAAATGCTGGGGCTGGCTTGCAAGTGAACTATTACATGTGCCTTCTGGTTGCGTAAAGGTTCTCACTGTAATTAAGGAGGAAGAGAGGGACAATAGAGGAATTACTTAGTCTTGGCTCCACCTACTGTTGGCTACCACTCAGCCTACTATTGGATTTGGATCTGCCTACCATTTCCAGATCCTGAAGCTGAGGCTCCAGTACTTTGGCCATCTCATGAGAAGAGAAGATTCCCTGGAAAAGACCTTGATGTTAGGAAAGTGTGACGGCAAGAGGAGAAGGGGACGACAGAGGACGAGATGGCCGGACAATGTCATCAAAGCAACCAATATGAATTTGACACAACTTCGGGAGGCCGTGGAAGACAGGAGGGCCTGGCATGCTCTGGTCCATGGGGTCACAAAGAGTCGGACACAACTGAATGACTAAACAACCATTTCCAGTGTCTACGATCAAGATGCATCCTAGCTTAAAATATCCATCATCACTTTGCTCGGTGACTGCCCTGGCTGAAGCATGTAAGTATATTTGAGGTGACCTGAAGCAGAAGGAAAGGATCAGGGCTCTTGTTCCCTTAACTGTTGTGTAGAATAGAAACTTTCAGAAAGTGTAACTGGTTATGCAAGGCACACCTAATGAAAATCTTTCTTCTACACTTTTCCTAACATGTCAGTAGTACGGTCTCACTAACCTCTGCTTTCTTTTAAGTATCCCATTTAACTGGGTCTGTGCTCTGTGCAGTTCACCATATTCTGCTATAGAGCTAGGCAGGCCTACCTTCTCCATCAGACTCTGCTGAGCTCCTGAAAGAACATTAACAAATCCTTCCAGAGAAGCAATGAAGTCTTGCTTAACATTTGTCCCTTTCTGGGGGCCACTCAACTCTCCCCAGGCGTAATTCATGGTCTTCAGAGCTGGAATGAAGATATCTGACAGTAAGTGCTGTATGCTGTTCAGTAAGCCACCTTGAGACGCATCCATCATATTGAAAACGACTTCCTGGTAATGAAATACCAAACAGCATTGTTAGTTGTTAGTCTGATCATGTTTTGAGTATATTCTGTGAAACAAAGTCTGGATAAGACTGGAGCCTCAAGTTATGGAAATAAGCATACAATCGCAAGTTAGTTTGCTCCAGAAATGGAAAAACATAAATCAAAGTAGCAGAACTCAAACTGACAGGAAAGTTACCCTAGATGCAATTAGTCTTCTCTGAGTGCTCATCAGCATGATGGGAAAGAGAATAGTGAACACAGGATTTCAGAATTAAAAGAAGTTGCAGGATACTTACACGATTAATATTCTCTGTAGTTATTGCTTTGGATGGATTTGTTCTAATGAAGAAGACACAGATCCCAGTTAAAGCAACATCCTTTCCGTCTGTCACAAATAATTTAGGCTTTTTGCTCTTAGCAGAGAGGGGGTTAGTTCCTGCTGAACTTCCAAGCCCTGTAGTATTTCAGGTGAGAGACAGAGAGAGAGGGGGAGGGAGGGAGGGAGAGAGAGAGTTCTCTCGTACAGCCATTAAATGAAAATACAGGCACCTATGGCTATCATTTTAGAAAACAAAGAGGTTATACAGAGTTCCTTAATGAGAAGACTGGTTGACATATGGAGGTACACATCACCTCAATTTCCCACCATTGTTTACTCAACATTTAAAGTTGAGTGAAGTTTTATACAGCTGATGATTGCAATATATGGTGAAGGAGGGCTCATGCTATGAATCTTCTCATAACCTAACATGGGCATCTGAGTACCTCCTTCAAGATCTTCCCTAGGGGAGGTTCATAAGATTTTGCAAAGTGAAGGGTCTTTTCAGTTGTGTCTCCACCACCACAGATATTCAATGCCCTCTCCTTCAAGGCCAGATGTCATCCTTAAAACAGCGGAACATTTTCTTTTTCTGTTAATTGTTTGATGGGTTGCTTAATGCATCAGTTGAATTGTGTTGTCTCTGGTTATTGTTGATATTTTAGTTATTTCAGAGTAGCTGCCTTTTGTATCTTCGTATGAAATTAATAGCTTTAGTTCTGTTTAAATTTCGTGTATTTCAATAATGCTTATGTCACTGTGGATTTCTTTTTTATATATAACAAATTTAAACAATAGCAATAACTTACTCAAGTATGCAGCTCCTGTCTTGTCCAGACACTCTTAAAAACTCCATTCCCAAATAATTTAATATGGTATTTCTGCAGCTTTATGCAATCAAAATATCTGAGGGCATGTGAAAATGTATTATTATTATTATTATTTGACAGTTGTCAGCTAACTTTGTGAATCATTTCCCCTGAAAAGCAGCATGTTAGAGATTAGATGGTATGAAGATTTGCTCCCATGTTTGTTGGATCCTTGATGTACCATGTGGTTTGCATGCACAGAAGTCATCACAAGTAAATAACATGCATATCTGAAACCCACTGGGGATTCATCTTCCCCATAACTGTGAGCAAGGTCATATCATGAACCTGTGTCTATCTGAAACACATTCTGCCCACCTGTTTCAGATGCCTCCACATCTTGATAGTAGAACATGACATGACGAAAACCTCCAGCTGTGAAGAATTTATCAATGCGCTCAATCTGTTATAGTAAACATTCAAACCAATGCCAAGTTAGATGTGTATGGACTAGTAGTTAGATGTGTATACATAACATGCTAGGTGTATCCATGATCAAATGCTAAACATAACTCAATTGGTACATTCCGAAATATCAGTGTCCAGACCGTGCTAAAAAAAAAATCAGCTGCTTTAGTAATTTGCACATACAGTGGTGCCTCGCATAGCGAGGTTAATCCGTTCTGGATTAACCATCGCTATGAGAAACATCGCTCAACGGAACAAAAAAACCTATTAAAACGCATTAAACTTGGTTTAATGCGTTCCAATGGGCCCAAAACTTACCGTTGAGCGAAGCTTCTCCATAGGGGTGGCCATTTTCGGGCCCTCGCAAAGCAAGGGCGCGGTGGGAAAAGTTGCGGCAGCCATTTTGGAACTGCCGATCAGCTGTTTTCCCCCGCTTCGTTGTGCGAAAATCGCTAAGCGAATCGCTTAGGGATCGTCGCACAGCGAAAAAACGCCATAGGGGCCATCGCTGAGCGAACGCTCCAGCAATGGCCCGGACCTACTCGCTATGCGAATTCATCGCTCAACGGAACGATCGCTAAGCGAGGCACCACTGTATTCTGAACATATTGATAGTGATGTTGGGTAAACTGCAGTTTAATGTCAACTTCATATTACCCAACACATGACTTTCAAAAATATGGCAGCTCTATCTTAGAATCAGGAGAGCTTCAGATTATTGATAGGTACGGACTTTCTCTGAATTGTTTGCACTCTTTAAATTTTGAGAAGGCACTTTGTAGCTTCAAATCTCACACTGTATTTCAAAACACAACTTTTAAGCACATAATGTTTCTGTTTGTCAATCAAAATGTTCTCTATCATTTGCCAAGTTACTTATTCAGACCCCTCATCCATTATGTATAACTAGTATTTCAGATTTTAAATGCAGAAATGCTCTTCGTAGCTCTACAATGACAGTCTGTGAATTCTGCTATAGTTGAAGGTCATTATCACAAAACTACTCATGATGGAACAGTCTGTCCTTGCAGAATCAGTGTACCTGAACTAGTACCTCATTATCTACTTGGTTGTCCAATCTATGAGGGGGAACACTTATTTAAAGAGCTAGGTTTATTACTTGCATATCTTGCTAGATTCTTGATTAATTTTTTACTGGAGGATAGTCCTCCCTGTATCTCTGAAAAGGCCTGTTTGGCCTTTAAAGCAAGGTTGGTGATGATTATGACCATCTGCATCTCCAAGACACTTAATCTTAAATACCATGGCACTAACCAGATTTTTCCATACTGATGGGGGTAAACATGTTCCGTCGGCAATACAAGTTTTTAAGGCCAGGATTATCTCACAAATGCTTTATGGTTCTCACTTATTCACCTACACTAACTTATGACCTCTGGAGATTGTTCAGAATAAATTTGCAAGAGCCATCCTGGGAGTTCCACCTTGTACTTCCAATGTGGCTCTTTGCTTAGAGTTTGGGTTAGTACCCAATAAAGCACGGGCCAAAGTCCTTATGGTAAAGTACTGGCTTAAACTTATTTTCCATTGGAAGGCTTGATCCCACTGATGCTACTAGATACTTTTCAGTTGGAGTGGAAGTCTATAACTGAAGAAATATCAAAAATTGGCTTTTCTCCCAGTACACTTATAGCAATGGGTCTTACGGACGCCATCAAGGCGGTGAAGTTAAGGGTCTGGGATATAGAATTACAGGACCATGTTGGCCAGTTGGGGAAATCTAAGTTTCTTAAGAAATCTGCTTTTATCACCTCTTCATATTTAGCCAGTACAAAAGCCACAAGGGCTTTTACACTAGCCAGACTTAATGTATTACCTTCTAAGCTTCTGGAGGGAAGATTTCGAGGTTTGCCTCCATCAGATTGTATCTGCCCTTGTAATAGTGACAAAGTCAAAACAGTTGGGCATGTTCTCTTATATTGTATTTGCTATCAGGATTTATGTATGGAGCTTTTACTTTCTATGTAAATCTCCTGGGAGATCAGAGGAATATTATGTACAGTTGCTACTCTCTGACATTATCCCTTGTATTACAAGACAAGTGGCTAAATTCTGCGCTGCAATGAGTTATTTGCAACCAGATGTTTGGATTGCGATCTAAGACAGACAATATAATGTTTTTATAACATAACACTGGCTGAGGTTCCACTTCTTTTAAAGATATAGAGTCAGCTTGTTGATTATGATATGAATTTTAAAGAAGGGGTTGATTTATCATGTTTTTCGTGGAAGAATGTATAATTCTGCTTAGTTTTACGAAATTGCAGTTCTATGAATTTGTTTTATATTGTTCTGGTCTTGCTGGTATTTGACCGGAATAAAGTTATCCATCCATCCATTCATCCTTATTTCATAGACTTCTGGCTTAGGCTACAACTCCTTTACTATTGTATTTATTTTTAACATTGCACACTATTTGTCTATTTTTAATCATATATGATTTGTCTGTTCTTTCTTTTTCTAATGGCTCTGGCTACACAAATAAACTTCTATTTATGTTGATGAAATCATCTGATTTATGCATGCTCCAGTCTACTCTCTATGAGTAGAAAAAAATACAATGGGAGAAATCCTGTTCCATAAGTTATACTGCATAAGGCTGATAACATCATCAGCCACAGCATTTTTTCAGAAATAAAGCATATCCAAACCCCCCACAAAGGTTCCAAAGTTTCTGTGGAATCTCTTTCATTGTCAGGAAGCTATTGAGGGGTGGAGAACAGGGGAGAGATCTTTAATTACCTAAATTTGCTGCCACCACTAAAGCCATTTCACTTGCAGCAATTTTTAGTAACATTTCCCTGTCTCACTGCCCTAATGGCTTCCCAATGAAAAAGGGGGATTCCATAGGAGCTTTGGGACCTTTTGAAGGTGGAGAATCAAAAATGTTTTTATTTTCAAAAAATTGCTGCTACTCATGACATTATTGGCCTAGACAGACAGACAGACAGACAGACACATACACACACACACACACAGACACACACACAGAGAGAGAGAGAGAGAGAGAGAATATGCCACCTAAAAGATCCAAGGTGACTTAGCGTATGAAAAGAAGCAATACTAAAAGCTAAGATAATAAGTTGTTACAATATAAAAAAATAATTAAAGAAATATCATATTAAAAACATATAAGTAAAAGCAATATTATAATTACATTGAAAACAACAGAAATACAATAGTCCCTTAAAAGAATTCCTTAGTCAACCACTCATTTAAAGAAAAGTTGTCTGAAAAGAAAGGTCTTTGTCTTTGAAGGACAGCAAAGATGGGGCCAGTCTAGCCTCCCATAGAAGGGAGCAGCATCTGGGAGCAACAACAGAGAAGGCCCTCTCACGTGTCCCCACCAAGCGCACCTGTGAAGATGGTGGGACTAAGAGAAAGGCCTCCCCTGATGATCTTAACACCCAGGCAGGCTCCTACAGGGAGATGTGGTTTTTAAGATAACCTGGACACAAGCCATTTAGGGCTTTGTATGTTTTTTTAAGATAACTTGGACACAAGCCATTTAGGGCTTTGTATGTTACAATCAGCAATTTGAATTGTGGCCAAAAATTGACCGATTTTTAAAAAAAGTAGTGTGCTGCTTATGGATCCCTATTCCTTGATCTATCCTTTCACCGACCAGGAGCACCTCTGTCTTGTCTGGATTAAGCTTCAATTTGTTCACCCTCATCTAGTCCATTACTGACACTAAACACTAATCTACAACTAAAACAGCTTCCTCAGATTTAGATGGAAATGAAAGAAAGAAAGGGTTAGGTGTCATCAGCATACTGATGATGCTGCACCCCAGAACTCTGGATAAACTCTCCCAGTAGTTTCATGTAAATGTTAAATAGCATGATGGACAAAGCAAAACCCAGAGGGACACTGCAGGTCAAACAGGTGTCTCCCTGCATTCTCTTCTGAGTTCTCCTCTCCAGGAAAGCTCAGAGCCATTGTAAAGCCATGCCTCTAGGTCCCACCTAGAGAGATGGCCAAGAAGGATATAATGGTCAATGGTACTGGGAGCCACTGAGGGGTCCAACAGAACTAACAGGGACACACTTCCTCTGTCCAGTTACCAGCATAGGTCATCCAACAAGACAACCAATGTGGTTTCTATCCCATAACCAGCCGATGACCAATGTGGTTTCTATCCCATAACCAGCCCTGAATCCACATTGAAATTTGTCTCATCCAGGAACCCATGGAGCTGAGAAGCCACAACCCACTCTTGCACCTTGCCCAAGAATGGGACCTTAGAGACTGGCTAGTAATTATCCAGTACTAGTAATTAACCAGTACTGTGGGATCCAAGGAGGTTTTTTAAAAAAAACAATGGTCTTACTACTGCCTCTTTTAAGCATGCTGGGATCCTACCCTGCCACAAGGAGGCATTCACTACTCTTCCTAACCACTCTCTCTGGCAGCTTTTACAGTGGACCCTCGACCTATGGAATTAATCCGTATTGGAACGGGGTCCATAGGTCGAAAAGTCCGTAGGTCGAAAATGCATTCCCCATAGAAATGCATTGAAAACCATTTAATCCGTACCCAGCCCGCTGGAACGTGTCCCACCAAAAACTTTTTTAAAGGGGAACTTACCTTTCCAAAGCCTTCCAGGGGTCCCCCGCCGACGTCATCACCGCTGCCGGAGGACTCTGAGGGACGTGCCCCCCCACCAAAAATGTTTTACCTTTCCAAAGCCTTCCAGGGGTCCGCCGCCACCATCATCACCGCTGCCAGAGGATTCCGAGGGCTTCGGCGCCACTGCCGGAGGCCTCTCGGAGCTCCCCCCCCGGCCAACGTAGGCTTTCCCAGGGTGGATGGGCCTACCAGGGGAGGGCTTCCCCCAGCAGGCGCTGTCTACTGCCTGGGAAAGCTTGGTAGACCGGGCCTACCGGGGGAAGCCCTCCCTTTGTAGGCCCGGTCCACCCTGGGAAAGCCTGCGTCGGTGGCGGGGGAACTCCGGATGCCAGTGGGGGGAGAAACTCTGGAGGCCTTCCCCGCCGCCATGGGAGGCTTCTCAGAGGTCCACCACCAACAACGATAGTGCCTCCGAAGCACTATCGGCAGTGGGGGGGACCTCTGAGATGCCTCCCATGGCGGAAGAGAAGCCCTGGACGGCATCCGGAGGTCCACAACCGCTGCTGGGAGCCAAGCCACGCCGAGCAATCCTGGCTATGCTTGGACTCCTGGGAGTCTGAGCATGGCTGGGATCGCCTGATGCGGCTTGGCTCCCAGTGGCGGGGGATGTCTGGATGCCTTCCAGGGCTTCTCCACCACCATGGAAGGCTTCTCGGAAGTCCCCCCCCCACTGCCAATAGTGCTTCGGAGGCACTATCGTTGGTGGGAGGGACCGCCAAGATGCCTCCCATGGCATCGGAGAAGCCCTGGAAGGCATCCAGAGGCAAATCTGCGGCCTACAGACTGGAAGGAGGAGGTGGGGAAAGCGCCAAATTTGAATTTGGCATTTTTCCCGCCTCCCTCTTCCTGTCCGTAGGTCAATTGTCCAGCCACAAGTCGAAGTGAAACTTTGCAGCCAGAGAAGTACGGATCTTGAAAAGCTCATAAGTGGAGCTGACCGTAAATCGAGACTCCACTGTATAAGCCAGGAAGGGCAAGGGTTCAACAGATACGGATCTTGAAAAGTTAATAAGTGGAGCCGACCGTAAGTCAAGACTCCACTGTATAAACCAGGAAGGGCAAGGGTTCAACAGACGCATGGTAGCCTTGACCTCTGCAACGGTCCTGTCCAATTCATCAGCTGTAAAAACTGAAACTTATCTATTAACACAGAACAAGCAGGGACACAGTTGCATTCGTAGGACCTGTATCAACTACAGTATTCATGTCAGAGCAGATCCAAGCAAATTTGCCTGCAAAGTGCTGCACAAATTCTTCACAGCAGGCTATATATAGTGTGTATATATAGTGTGGTCTACATTCTCTTCCTGCAGGCCAGCATGTAATAGGCTCTTGACCACTCAAAGAGCTCTGCTAGATGATTCTGTGCAGATGCAAAAGCGGCACAAAAGAATGGCTTCTTCACTGACACCACTGCCGTGGAGTAGGCTTTCCTGTGGCCCTATCCTGTATTCAATCGGATTCACTCTGTGTTTTTCGCTGTCATTTCTGTAGTCTCTATTCTGCTCATTCATCACCATCAGTTCCCTAGTAAACCAGAAGGCCAATCTGACTCTACTTTGTGGGTGTGGATGCTTAGGAGTAATCATGTCAACAACCCTGATCATTCCTGCATTCCAGGAATCAGCCACAACTTCAACAGAATTGCCAGCTGAAGCAACAGAAAACTCCCCAGGAGCCATCAGGAAACCATTTGAATCCATCAGCTTCCTGAAGCGGACCATCTTAATTGGTTCACTACCCCTGCAGAGGCTCTGAGTTCCAGTGAACTTATGTGGCATAACTTACTGCTGCAGGATCTTAGCCATTGTCTATTTGAAAAGATGCTCTCAATTCAGATATGGAAATCAGAAAATGAACACAGGTCTGTGCATCCAGAGCTATGTGCCTGCAGACTCATGCAAAGATTAGAACTAATATTTTGTGACATCATAATACCTTATGACATAAAAATGAGTCCTGGAATTAGAATCAGTAACATGCCTTATGCATATTTAAAGATTGCTTTATAAACAATGTGTATCATGATGTTATAAAATGGCTTTGGAATTTCCCTTTCAATTAGTTTATTATAATTTAGTTAAGAAAGCCAGTGAGGCCCAGAGATTAGAGAGCTGGTCTAGGTCTCAGGGGACCAATGTTCAAATCCCAGTTAAAATTCACTGTCTGCCTCACCCACTTCAGAGGAAACACCGTGAGGATGAAGTGGACAAGTGGAAAGCAATATATGTTGCCTTGAGCCCACTGAAGGAGAGGCAGAAATAGAAATGTAACAAATAAATGAATACAAAAATTATAGTTTTCTCTGAAGACTAATGATTTGGCAGTCTTTCAGGTGCTGGTTCATCACTGACCATGAGGGCAATGCTGATTTAGGAAGATTTACTCTAACCCCTCTACTTTAGAGTTATTTGCCCTCAATAGTGTTATCATCTAACCAGATCCGACTGTGAGATCAGCACATCTTAATCAGTATGTGAACAGGATTGTCCATTTGCAGAAACATGCCAGTTGATGTAGCCACCAAGTGATGCAACATTAAACCATTAAACCAGTGGGATTCTGGCAAATGGAACTACATATGTAAACAAGATACCTGATTTCCTTCAAGGATGGCATCTTCCACTTCTGCTTTCTCTAGGTCCACACAGGAAGCCAGGATGGACAGTATATAATCGTGTCTGCCATCTAGGTGGGCTCGCTTAGCCTCTTTCTCCTCTTTTAGCTTTTGCTGCGCAGGTGAAAGTCTCCATTATTAACATGTAGAGAACAACATTTCTGTTCGGTGACTGAATTAGGACTTTGTGAAATGCCTGATACATGAACCAACTGGTCAGAAAAACTCAACAAATTCTCTTTTCAAACTGCTAAATCCAACTCAGGTGCTAAACCTCAGGTAGATTTTTATGGAAATGGTCAGCACAGAGACATCTGGATATTCACAGGATAAGGCTGCTGTTCTATGCACACTCAGAAATATGTCCCCTCAAATTCATTCTGCGGGACTTACTTCAAAGTAAACATACATGGGATGGGGCTATAAAACTGTGAAGAGAAATAAAACTTTGGGTATAACATGGCAAATTCTGTGAATAATATTGCAGGTTCTTCTGGCCGTTTTCAAGCTTCCTGAACTCAACAGTGAGCATATTACATGTATTTCAAATTATGCATTTATATTTCCCGAAGGATCAGGTTCAGATATCATCATCATATTAGAACTGCAAAGTTGGAAGGGACTCTATGGATCATCAAGTCCAGCTCCTACCTAAGAGGCATAGGATCCAGATCCCAATGGATCAGGTACAAAAAAGTGACTGCTGTCATCCCCAGAAATACTCAACAACTCAATTCACCAACAATATTTTAATGTGTTATCCTTATAACTTTATTCAATCAAATCACCAGGGGCATGTGGTAATACTGTTCAAAACATACTTTAAATGTGAACATTTTCTGTTGGACCAAACATGGATACCCTTGTTTCATGAATGCTGAAAAACCAGAATTCAGAAAAGTTCCTTTGCAGGTTGATAATTCCCAGGAGCCCCTGTAGCGGGCACGCTGAAGCCTCTACCAACTCAGGCCTCCAGGAGTGCTCACTCTTCTTCTCAAGTAGCTGCCACCAGGTATTGCTATTTCAATACCAATAAATCACTGAAT